GAAAAAAAGCAAATTCTCAAATAACTCTTTTCTTAACACTCTTATTACTAAGAATTTTAGAAAGGCTAATGTGAGACACTACATAAAAAGGTTGGGAAACGCTGATTTAGATTCTTGTGGATATTCCGTTCACGTTTTCCGATTTAAGTATTTAATTTCAATATTCTTGTTACTATTCAACTATTTTTCTCCGACTTTGTGATGGTACAACTACTTTTCTATTTTGGGCCATTGTTTTTTTTTTCATTTATTTAGGTCAACAAACAGTTACACATTATACATACGGCTTAAGACTATTTACTAATAAATTTTAATAAATGTGTCACCTACTACGTTAACCACTGATTACTGTAATTATACAATACTGCATAAAGCATGATATCCATGTGTTGCGGAAGGAAGGACTGTATTAGGGCTGGTTAAAAATGAGACACGTTCCTAGGTGAGGTAAAATAGGTGTAATCAGCTCGCTAGCAAAAATATAAAGACAATATGGCATAAGAAAACAAACGGTATATAAAAACAGAACGTCAAAATATAAAATTCAAATATATATAAAAAATATAAAAACTATCAAAAAGGTTGCCATCGGCAACACCATGTATATGACAGTGTTCCACCTTCTCTGTGACCTTACTAGGCCTCTTTTGCGATCCCATTGCCTCAAAACCAATACGTCACACCACAATCTTCAAATTCATAATAAATATATTGATTTCACTTGTACAAAACTTTTCACTAAATCTTGCTGAAACAGCTTCAAGTTTTTTCATAAACTCACTCAAAGAAATTATACTAGCTACCCGCCTAAATTTTGTATGAATTTCCATGAAACAATAAATCCTCCACAAGGAATTCAAAATACATCGAACGAATAGTGGAAAAAACTAATAGAATACAATTTTCTTATACTATTTATCTATACATGCTATATGTATAGATAAATAATATAAGACACGACGACCTCGGTGGTCTAGTGGTTTAGCACACCGCTTTACATCCGATGGTCGCGAGTTCGATTCCTCGCACATCACAAACATTTGTATTCATGAGTATGATTGTTTGTATCGGTCTGAGTGTTTTCTATGTATAATATGTATATATTTACGAAAAAAAAAACTATGTATTTGTATCAGTTGTCTAGTACCCTTAACACAAGCTTTAGCTAGCTTAACTTGGGTCTAGATGGGGCTGTGTGAATTGTCCTGAGATTATTAATATATTATTATAAGAAAATGCCCTTAGGTGCCCGCAGACGTATCATATACCAGTCGTTAATTGCCTGGGGTCACCTGACATTTGCAACAATGCGTTGTATGCTGCATTTTCGTGTACTTTTGTGATAATCTCAAAAACTACTGAACGAATTTTTATGTGGTTCCATCTATAAACAGGTAAATTGATTGAAATATCCGTGCAAAATCAGAGTCAGATGGCTAGTCAATTATAGCGAGAAGCCGTAAAAAGTTTGTTCAAATAAAATATATATATATATATATATATAGTTATAAAATACCAACAGACGATCAGAGAAAGAAAATTATATACTAGCTGAAGCCGTGGTTTCACCTGAGTGAAATTTATAATCTATATGTTATTCTGATGTATTATATAACGCCGACCCCAAATAAATGGGATAAGGAAGAAGCAGATGATGATGATGTTATTCTGATGTATTATATAAGCCATAATTTCGTAATAGAGTAACAAACATCCAACCATACTCACAAACTTTCGCGTTTATAATATTAATAAGATAAGATGCTTTTGCCATTTTTTTGCGGATTCATAGAAAAACTAGCATAAAATAAGGGTCGAGAAATGATTATTGTATTAGGTACGAAAGTAAACATATTCCTAGCAAATTGAGAGCGACTTGATATAGTTTGCATGAATTTTGCCCTTTCGCGGGTCCCTTTTGCGATTCCAATGAAATAGAGGGATGTCGTAATGTTACAGCCCTGGGCCCAGATGTGCTGATCGTTTCTTATATTCTATGAATATAACTTACATTTTCTATCACCAGTATGAATTACATTACTAATGTTTTAGTACCTTTTTTATGTGACGGGAATGATGTTGTCCGCGTAGATAGATAGATAGAGTACCTATACGTTTATTTATATTATACAGAAAACAGAAAAATTACACTTACATTACAGATTTGTCCATATATATCTATTGTTGACAATTCCTCTGACTACTTCATCTAAAAGCGCAGTAATGAAAATGTATGCATACATTTAGTCATCCTAGCTTAACAATATACTGCATACATACGTACTAGGAACAACAACATCATCATCTGCTTCTTCCTATACGTATGTATTACGTATTATTAGTATATATATATTACTATGTAATATTATATTATCTGTGATATTACTGTCAAAATTGTTTAGTAGCTTTTGCGTGAAAAAGTAACAAACAGTCATCCATCTATGCATGCATCACAAACTATCGCATTTATAATAATAAAAAGATTAGGTATTAATTACTACAACAGTTAATTTTTAATCCAAATGTTGAGTGAAAATTTTACAATATTCAGTATAATAGCCCTTAGAATACTCTTAGACTTAAGTTATATTAAAAGAGACGACTTTTAAATCTTTTTAGGAGAGTAAATTACATAAAGCTTCGCTCTCTAGATGCAATTTAATTAAATCCCTGTGCGATTTTCTTTTTGAATTTCATTCTGCAGCTAACAACGGTAACTGCGTGTTATACTTTTAATAGAAAAAATATTAAATGACTATCTTAGAATAGTTGTTCTTTCGTGGACATGTTAATAATTAAAGCCAATTAGTCTGATAAGTCCTTTATATCTTTTGTACCACCAACGCATTTAAACATAACTAAAATGACAGAGATAAAATTGGAAGTACAGATCTTTAGAATTTTTTAATATCGTCCCACGTTAAGCAGAGCTTGTTATTGGTACTAGATAACTAATATAAATACATGGATATTTTTTTGTAAATACATACATAATATAATAATAAGAATCTCAGGACAATTCACACAGCGCTATCTAGACCCAAGTTAAGCTAGCTACAGCTTGTGTTATGGGTACTAGATAACTGATACATATACATAGATTTTTTTTGTTAATACATACATACATTATACATAGAAAACACCCAGACCGATACAAACAATCATACTCATGAATGAATGAATACAAATGTCAATGAGAGTTATAATATCATATAAATGCCTTATTTATATAATCCAACAATAGTTATTACCTACCTGATATAATTATGTAACAAGTCATCTGCGTAGGCTCCTCAGTCTAACCTATGTCTGCCAGGCTCTTTTCTTTATAATCTGTGTTTCGGTGGTAGTGTAATCACAGGATAGGACCAAAGAATATACAGCAATTACCTTTAAATAAATTCAAAACATCTGTTAAATGATATTTACTAAGCCAAATCCTATTTCACTAAACGATTACTTAAATAACAAACGTGCATTGCAATAGTTGTTAATTCACAGGATTTTCATTTAATGTTAGACATAGATAGACACACAATGTAAATATTGTCATTTCTTCTTAATTGAATCTGTATAGTAAACTGGACTCGTCATCATCATCTGGTTCTTCCTTATCCCATTTATATGGGGTCGGCGTAATATGTTTTTCTCTTCCATTCATCTCTGTTCGCAGTCAACCCGTTATTTACTCCCTTTCTCACCATATCATCTTTCACACAGTCCATCCATCTCTTTTTCGGTCTTCCTCTACCCTTTTCACCATCCACATTCATATGTAACACCGTCCTTAGGATATGATCTTCATTCCTACGCACTACTCTTTAACTTCTCCGACATCGGTGCCACTTTCATACTTACTCTGATGTATGTATTCTTTACTTAAACTGTAAGAGGACTGTAGGAAAAAAAATATAATACAAGAAAAGGCTAAAATTTCCTACATGAATGAATAAATGATTTTGATTTGATTTCATAGGAGGCATGACGTTTACTTTTTCAGAATGACAACGCATAAGCGTTACAAGCATCATATAATAATTATAATTAATTTAATGTCTGTCGTACTGTTAACATATATATATAAATATATATATACAGACGACGGTTACCACTTACCAATAGGAGAGTCAGCTTATCTGCTATTCTAACTGTATAAAAACAGATATTGAAAGTTGATTACAATTCCTTGTAATTGGGTATGACATAACCAAAAACATATTTTTAATATTTGAAGATTTACCAAAACAATTATTATAGCGCTATGGTGTAGTGGTATACAGAATATAGCCAACATCATTTTTTTTTTCAATGAATATCAATTGATATTTTTATTTGAATTTTAATAATAACATTAATATATATAACGTATCCTAGAGGTAGGTACAAAAAGTTTAACACAACATTTATATAAGTTAGAAGTGGCCGAAATCGAAATAATTTACATATTGTACGTATATTCTTTATTGCACTCTAATATTAATTAGATAAAATGTGAGCAAAGGCACTTATCTCTAAAAGAGATCTCTTTAATTCGACGTGACAAAGCTAGTAGTGACTGTGTAACGTTAGTGTCATTATTTAAATTTCTAGTTTTATCTACATTCTGTATTATAATATACTATGTACACTTAACCTTAACAAGTGATTATGTATTTAATATTTTGACTCTATGAATTAGTTCACAAAACTTTATATTTTTAAGTTCAACTTAACAAAATTATTTAGATAAATGAAATTATTTAGACTCGCAAATTTCTTTCTCATAATTCTTGTGATGAAACAGATTTCCGAATTAGCGGTAGATTAACGAATAAGTATGACTATTCAAAGTGTTTAAATTTAAGTTTATTTGAATAAATAATTAAAAAATGAGGTAGGATAGAACAGATTCTATCAATTTTGTATGTATGTGGTAGCGGGAGTGTCATTTTTTTTTAATTACCTATTCTATCTCTCTCTTCTCTCGAATCTCTTAGTAATGACAGCCATTTTGTTCACAGATCTCCCAAAATCGACATCAAATCGCATAGTTTCTATACTGGGATTATTCGAGCTGTCGGTAGGCGATGCTCCCCGAGCAGATGGTGCATCCGAGCTGGCGGCAGCTAGGCTTGCAGTGGCACACGTCAACGACAGAGCTCTTCTACCTGGCTACAAGATGCACCTAATCACCAATGATACTAAGGTATTATCTATATTTTATTACCTCACAATTGTGGTAGTTAATTGTTCACTACCCAACGATTAAGATCCAAGTGTTCTCTAGAATGTATTCTCACCCCACTAATCGCTATTGTTCCACCATCTATCGATAATGTGGTATGGGGCGCCGTAGACTAACCACAGACAACGATATTCATTCTAGAAAAGTAGTGTGGAAAATATGGCGCTGCTATCAAGTTTCTAACGGTAGCAAAAACAGCTTATTGGAGTATAATAAACAGCATTTATAAAAAATCATAACATTTATATTAACATTACATATCCCCTATAACAGCGATTTGTATTGCAATCCTCTCTATGAGTGTATTTTTTTATGGATGACAACGGAATGCTATTGCCGCCTGCGTTAACGGTTTACGCTGACGGGGCACCAGTCGAGGATGATAAGATGAACATGAGGTCAGATCAGTTAGACAATCGTGATAAATTCACCAGGAAGATTTCCAGGAGGAACCGCGTGGAAGTCAACCTGACATGGTACATTGATAGCAATCATTAGGACACATTACTAAAATTCCCTTCCTGCTGCTGCGCCGTATTAAATTATGACTCTGATATCTAACCAAACTAATACCTACACGTATTAAAAATTCGAAAGTGGGTCAGCCTGTTTGTTTGCTACATCTTCTCAGCTAAATGGATGAACGAATTTAATTGAAATTTGACATGAAGATAGATTGTATTACGAAATCAAACATAGGCTATCTTTAAGTTCATAAAATAATCTACCACCGGGTTAAATAGGGATTAAAAGTTTGTGAAAACGAAGTCGTGTGTAACAGCTAGTATACAATATAAAAACAAATCAACTTTATTTGACATAGCTGAAATTGTCTGAAAAACATTTATTGATGTTTTATTACGTACGTCTCACGAGAGTCAAGTTTCGAGATAGGATTTTAGTATAAAAAAATTATAGGTACGGATAAAAAATTTATAGTTACTCATATATTTCTAGTTGAAGATTTTAAATGGAAATAAAGTAGACTACCGTTATAAACTACGTTGAAACTTCGTCAAAAAGAAGAATTTATTTTCATTTTACTACTGAACTCACGTTTGCTAGCGAGTAAAATTCAACTGAAACAAACTTGCTAGGTAATGTTAGCTTATAATGTTGCCTATTTACCGTCTCGAATTTCCCACAAATTCTACCCTAAAATCAAGCTTAAAAATCCCTCAAAAATAATACACAAATATACAGTCACGCTGTTATTTCTGATGGAGTAGTCAGAGGCACTGTCAACAGTTTATGTTGTAGTGAACACCATACTAGATATATCGACATTTCGCTTTGTATGTTACAGGGAGCGAACCTACTACCTTCTATTGGATTAATTTTTGGTTTAATATAAATGTTTCTTTCGATGGAGACACAGCACCATTTTTTTTTGTGTCAACCAGATTTTAACTCACGGCCTCTTAAATGTTATATAATAAATAACAATAATTGGGTAGGTACTTGGAGTTGTAATTTATAGTAGTAAACCTAAAAAACTAAGTCACGGTGCTCTCATATTACAAAAATATTAGCAGTCCATATATTGTGACAATTTCTCAGCGTAATATTGTAAAAGCCCAACTGTTCCCAACTGTGCCCAACGGCCCAACAGCCCAGCGTAATATTGTAAAACCACAATCCTCGTTTATAATGGGTTAAAGGCTTGTTTATTTTCATTTTTCCAATATTAATGTGACCAAAACTCAACTAAGCCCAGTTTCATCAGAATTTCCTCTCTTAGCCACAAAATCTCCTCGACTTTGGCAGGAAACTCCCAAATCTGGCATCACTGTTCTACGTTCAGCTCTTCTTGTACCAACCATATAAATTGCAGTAGCTTGCTGTTCGTAACGAATTTGCACGGAAAATATTTATTTATGGAGCTACGGCAGTGTAATCAGAAATCGACTGTCGACTAAGGGTGTTTTATATCAAAGCGTTTTTAGCCTATTTCGAAAAAGGGGTCGGCAATTTTATTATATATTTTTTTATTATTTTTGCCAGATACCAGGATTTGACGATCAATTCTGGTTAACATATGATAACCAAACTATTATATACATAATTATCGAGTTATCAAGTACATCTAATACATAAAATTCTCGTGTCACGTGTTAGTTGTCATACTTCAATGAAATTGATATAATTTCGTAAGTATACTCTGTAGGTATAAGAATAGGTTATTATGTCTTTATACCCCTAAGTTACGAGTAGAACGGTGGCCCACCACTAAAAACTTTCGTATTTTTTGTACAATTTAACTAATTATAATTTTTTCATCATGTTGATTTAGGGTTGTATGTATACAACCCTAAATTCTCACCCCTCTACCATCAATTCCTATTTTTAATAGCAATATTAGTACTTCAATATATACGGCAAAACAAGGCAATCTGGCGATAATTGTAAATCCTTGTTTAATAAATATATAAAAAGAAAATGTTTGCCAAACGCTTGCCCAGTCAGCTAGTATATTTTTATAGGTTTATCCTCTTAGTGACCCGCTTCGGTTTTGCCCACGTGCTTTTGCTTTGTATATACTAAGAGAATGCCTATATCACCCTTTGTCATTTATAAATTTACTAGCGGTTTCCTCCGCCTTAAATTTCAATAAAGATATAGCTTATATGTTATTCTAATGCATAAGCTTTATTACTGTTCATCTGTTCAGCTTCATCAAAATCCGTTCAGTAGTCTTTGCGTGAAAGAGTAACAAACATCTATACCAACAAACTTTTGCGTTTATAATATTATTAAGTAAATTAAATTTACTTTTTTACAATAAAGTGGCTGTAAGTGCCTCTTCACTATTCAACTGTTACCATTCCATCAGTCCATCCAACTATTCATTAACTCGTCCCAACAGGTGTGCGTTTATTTTATACGATAAAGAAGCTAAAACATTTGTGATAATCAGGAGGTTGTAAGTGCCTAGTTACCTTTTACCTACCTGTTGCCTAGCTACCTGTTACCTTCCATCAGGCCATCCAATCATCTATCAGTTCACCAACAGGTGTTGTGTTCATTTTTCATTTTTGACAAAAAAACATATTTTTTGCTCTACAGTGCGACCCTGGTGTGGGTGTAGACCGATTCTTCCATGCTCTCTACACTGAGAGGGACTCCCGGATGGTCATGCTGTTGGGTACTGCGTGCTCCGAGGTCACAGAGAGCATCGCAAAGATCGTGCCCTACTGGAATATCGTTCAGGTAAATTTAATCTTTATAAATTCACAATATCTTTATTCATGTAGGTCTATTACAGACTCTTATGTTATGTCAAATGTACCGTCAGTTCGGAATGATTTTGAGATGAGAAGCGTGGCTCTCAACAGATGTAAATACAGATTTACATTTAAATTCAAATCTAGGAGAATATAGCAATACAATAGCAAATAGTCTGATCACTGTTCGTAACAAGCAGGTAAAACCAGATCAGGGACCAGTCCCCACAAGTATATTATTACCATCTGTCCGGCAAACCTTGTTTTACCATATAAATTAATATTACTATTAAAAAAATACAGATTGATGGTAGAAGTGTGAAAACTTAAAGTTACATGTACATTTTTTACCCGCCATCGGGTACTCGCGCGTTTTAGCGAGAAAATAAAACGCGCGCGATCCTGAGCGATTGCATTTTACTATTTTTTTTTATCACTCTTTCCCGTGTGATAGCGCGTATGTATTGACAAAAAAGACAATTCACTTCCTTTTTAAAATTTTATTTTTTAATCCACAGTTTTTATGTTTCTAAAACACGTTTAAAATTTATAAATCATAAATAACCTTTTAAATATGGCTTTTAATCTATAGCCTGATGTCCTCCATTTTGCAACGACAATTAATCTATATATATAAATAAAATTGGAGTGTCTGTTTGTAATATTGAAATCGTTTTTTTACTATGCAAAATGTTATTTTGGTGTATGTATTTATATTCATACACCAAAATAACATTTTTAACAATTTTTGTCTTTCTGTCTGTTTGTTCCGGCTAATCTCTGAAATGGCTGGACCAATTTTGACGGGACTTTTTTTGGCAGATAGCTAATGTACTAAGGAGTAACTTAAGCTATTGTTATTTTAAATAAAATCTTTCATTTTAGAAAAACAAAGTTAAATTCCACGCGGACGAAGTCGCGTGTACAGCTAGTTATTATATAAAGACGCTAAATCCCTCACGATTGAAGAACGCGGGAATGCGCGATCTGGCAGCGCGCGTGGTTTCTCGTTCTCTTTGTCTACTAAGTACATGCTCGTTGTTTCCTACAGGAAAGCCGATTTCCTCGTGAAAGAGTGTACGTGTAAAGTCAACTAATTATTGGTATTTGCAGGTGTCATTCGGGTCTACTTCACCAGCCCTCAGCGACCGTTCTGAATTCCCACTGTTCTGTCGCACAGTCGCACCAGACTCCTCTCATAACCCGGCAAGAATCGCATTTATCAGGTATCATAGTATTTCATTTGAAGAACCGATATCAAAAATATATATCGGTTGTTTTATATTATAATATTAAGACTAATACACGCATTATATAACAATTTTCAACAGAATATAAATTATTCACAATCGTTATTAAATTATTAATATTATATTATTATTACTCGAGCGTGCGTTTTTACATAGTCTTTTTGACAAGCACAGCTTTGTGTAGTACACTCCCAACAGAAGTATTTCTGTTCTCATATGTGTGTAAATACATTAATAATAATAATATCTCAAGCATTCACAGCGCCATCTAATCCGAAGCTAATCAGTGCTTATATTATGAGTACTCGACAACTGATATAAATACATAGATATTTTTTTTATACATATGGATATAATATACATACAAAACACCCAGACAAACAGGGGTATATAATATATATCTTACGTGGAACAAATAAGTAAATTATTAAAATAAGAACTTATTAGAGATATTGATTAAAAATATAATATATAACCAAAATTATAAATATACGAAGATTTCTTTTTTTTAATATTCATATAAATTAAGAATAATAATAATCCTCCCTGTGATACTTATGATAATAATAATCTCAGGACAACACACAGCTCTAGACCCAAGTTATGCTAGCTAAAGCTTGTGTTATGAATACTAGTTAACTGATACCAATACATAGATTTTTTTCGTAAATATATACACATTATACATAGTAAACACCTTGACCGATACAAACAATTATACTCATGAATAAAATTTTTGTGCCGTGCGAGGAATCGAACCCACGAACATCGGAAGTAAGGAGGTATGCTAAACCGCTAGACCACCGAGGCTATCAAATATATTTCGCATAATATAATAGGTTTAATAATATTAGAAGTAGATAAAGTACAAGAAGTCTCGTATTACACGTAGTTGAACTTATAACTTTCGAATGCGAATAAAATTCCTCAACAACTCTGTAACTTAAATGAACTCAAGACTCGCGAATTAAGTCTTTTTAGACTAGTTTGTATTTGAAGCAGGTTTTATAGTTTACTTTTCTACAATTTTAAAGATAGTATTCACTACTTTTTTATATACTCATAATGAACTTGTTTCAACAGACGTCTGGGACACGTCGAAATTTTTGACAGTTTGACCGTAAAAATTTATTTAGATATTTTATACTATATTATAAATAACTTAGGGAATAATTTTTTTAATTTTTTTATTCTATATTGCATAATGTTTATTGCAGGTGCTAATATTTTTTTCTTATTAATTTATACTTTTTTATCCATGAGTATATAGCGTTTATTCATAAAATAAAAATAAATATTTATTAGTTGCGATTTATTGTAGTTTACGTAATTATATTTTTTTTAACGAAGATTTATATTTATAAAGATGATTATCAGTCAGGATACGAAATATATGTTTAAAAAAATATTACTGTTGTTTAGTACCGATAGTACTATCTTCACTTAATTTGGGACTAGATGGCGTTGTTTATTTTATTTATTTATTTATACACTTTACTACACCAAATACAAAACAAACGGAAAATTGTAAATATATTATACATTAACTGATACAAAAGGCGGTCTTATCGTAGAACAATCTCTTCCGGCCTACCTTTGGGTGGATAGAGAAAGTAAAGATATGAAAAGAGTACGTGGTGTACGTTATAAATAAATATATATATATATATATATATACATTAATACATATACTTATGTAAAAAAATAATAACATACATATACTTGATAGTGCACATAGATTTCAATTAAAAATTGTTGTATAAATTGTCCTGGACCATTGTCTTAACACTGTATCCTGTCTACTTATATAACTAAACACCTGTTTAATAATGTTATAATATTGAAGAACAAAACTTGTAAAATAACGTTTATTTTTGTCGTAATTACGAAGATTGTGTCGGCTTACGACAAGTTCTGTTTTCATTATAAAATTCATTAATTTCTCCGTTGTATACAACCGTCGTTAATACCTCCCTAAGTCCGTTACGAAAGTTCAACGGGAATCGGCAGAAGTTCTTGTTCCCTGATATTATTTTTGGGAGACAAAATGCGTAAACATTACATCCGTATCTTGACATATGTTGTACTAACAACAAATTGTGTTTACAGTGAAAACAAAACGGTTTTATATTTATTATCGTATTTGCAGAAGAGAATTATGATAAAAGTAATTCATGTTTACGATTAAAAGTTTTGACGGCCTCGGTGATCTAGCCGTTTAGCACACGCTTTACTTCCGATGGTCGCGAGTTAGATTCTTCGCAGAATGTATCTTTGCGCCAAATTTCATTAAGAGCTGTTTAGTCGTTCCTTCGATAGAAGGTAAAGAACAGACAAACACGCTTACCTATTTATGATATTAGTATGAATTTTATTAATTCATACTAAAATATCTTTGTTAATTTTATTAAATTCTTGTGTTATACTACACAACTGATAGATATACTTAGCTATTTTTTTAAATATATGCATAATATACATAGAAAAGACCCGAACCAATACAAGCATTCATACTCAAGAATACAAATGTTTGTACCATGAAAGGAATCGAACCTGCGACCATCGGAAGTAAAGCAATGTGCTAAACCGCTAGACCACCGCGGCCGTCAATAATTTATTTTTTTGTTTATATTTCTATAGGCAATTCGGCTGGGACACAGTGACAGCTTTCTCGCAGAACGAAGAAGTTTACTCATTGGCTGTTAATGAGCTGGTGACACAACTGGAAGCTGCCAACATCACCTGCGCAGCATCCATAACATTCGCCGAGTCAGACTTCAAGGAGCAACTACAGCAGCTAAAGGTTTAGAAAATTATACTCTATTATAATTCGTAGAAAGTCCAATTACATATTTCATAGATCAGCAGTCGACAATTCCTGGCCTTTGACTTAGGTGCTTAAAATATTGTCTGTCAATATATATATATGTATATAAAAAAATATAACGAAATACATAATCAAACGTCCAAATTAAAACATATGTATTATTCGTAGACAGAACCTGTGACTATCGGAAGTAAAGAATTGAATCAAAACAAGCTAGACCACTGATGATGTAAAAAAAATCTAAAAAATTAAATATAGGTATTATAATTTTTTTATACTAGGTCTTTATTTAGGTACTTAGTCACTTCAATATTATCTTATCTGTGACTATAAACGAATTGATTTCTAAATGCAAACTAACATTTAACTTAATGCTTAACTTAACTTTTTCTAACTGTATTATTATTATTTAAAGTAAGAAATAAAGAAGTATGCACAGGGTGAAATAAAAAGGTAGATATTGAATACTATTGAAAACAGACCTCGGACAATCTTGGGAAATTTGATACAGACATCATGATCATCATCTGCTTCTTCCTTAACCCATCCGACACTGTGTAGTGCCTCATGGATAAGGTACGATGAATTTATGAAAATTATTATTAAGGGAAAAATAGAAAGAAAGATCAAGGAACAGTTATATTAGGCAAATTAAAGACAAAATTAGAGTCGTTTCCTATCAACATTTAAAAAGGATGATGGAAAATCGTGGGAATTGCCAAGAGCTCCACCGATAAAAGCGTGGCTTTTAAATTATTAGTGAATGAGATTTTTATTTCTTAAGGATAATTTTGTTATGAGAATATTAATAACATTAGGAACACGTCATTCCATCATTATCATAATCTAATCTAATGAATCTCTGAAGAAGTGAATACAGATAATTTAATAGCAACCTATATATCACTCCTAAAGATACGCGATAGAAGATCCATAGAAATGCAACGTATCTCCAGATGCTTATATGAATATCATATAATGCGTGTAACGGCAGTGAAATTATAGGATAAGAGGCATGACATCTTAATCATGCTGAATGCAAGGCAACGCATGAGGTAACACAGGCATCATATGATAATGTAATTTCAGTGGTATTCATATAGACACTAGATAGACAACCTCGCCGCAACCAAGTATCGTTTAAAAAAAAAATATGTTTTTTTTTGGAATAGGTATAAAAATTTCTAATAAGATACCAAAGAATATACTGGAATTACCATTAAATAAATTCAAAACACTAAATTACTTGAATGACGAGCGTGCATGGCAATAGTTGTTCATGCACGGGATTTTCAGTTAATGTTAGACATAGACACCTATATAAATATACCTACAGTGGTATTTTTAATTAGACGAAGTCAACTGACGTTTACTGTGTTGTCAGTATTTGATGAAATAAAAATAGTGTTGTGACAAAGTGAATAATTGAAAAAACTCCTGAATTAATGGAATAGCCTCGATAGTCTAGTGAATAGTTAGTGTGCCGAACTGCCGATATCGGGTACGGGGTTCGAATTTTAGCCGTGCTTTATACATACCAACGAGTTTACGACGATTATGTTCCTATAGTATCTACCTACATATACTGAATACCGAGTATTTTAAACATAAAGAAAAAATTGCGTGTAACTTTTAAGACTGTCCTATTTACAATTCATCATGTAATTGAAACTATAGATGTATAAAATATAACAATATATAACATAATATAGTTAGGTAATAAAAATAAAAAACTTCGCTTATTACAAAATTCATTTTATTCATCATCAGATAAAAAAATCATTGTCGCTTTCAGTGACATTAATTATAAATCTGTCTAAAAATTGACAATAATTTATTTTTGAAACAGTGTTTCGGTCCACGTTTCTCCGGAGACTTAAATTGTTCACTTTGTATTATTTTAATACATTGTAGACTGAGGTCACACCAATTCCCAAAATGTCAGCTGTTTTCGAAATACATTTGTTTTTTTGGGAGCCTCAATAGGTAATAGTGAAGCAGCTTTCTCCTCAAATACGTATTTGTAGACGTTTTGTATCATAAGTTTTTCGGTAACGTCTTTCTTGGAGACAAGCTTTGGCTTGACGTGCTTGGTTGAGGATCCATATTGTTTGTATGAAACAATATAGTAAATATACAATATACCCAACAATTACCACAAACACAACATGAGGAAAAACTTAACAAAACAGCGTGAGCGCAAAAAAACATGGTAGACCTCAGACCAGAGGTTAGGAGCCGAATTACGAACAAAATGGCGACCGACGCTCGCGACGTTGATTTGTGTTGGCATTAGTAGCCGCGCGCTTTGTAATAAGCCGTCAAAAAACTGATTGTAGTTACTAGTAACTTATATCAGAGCACTTTTATACAATTTTATTGTAAAATAGAAATAATATTCTTTTGTAGTTTGAAATGATTAACTATTCACACTCATTGTTCATTCATGTAACTAAGAACTGAACGCATCACTATTACTTTAAATATGGCAACATTATTTTACAATGTGACATTAGCTACTGTCAGCTAGCTTCGTCTAATTAAAAATACGACTATACAATGTAAATAAACTGGCTATTAAAAAAAAAAGAAATCAATTGAGTTTCGTGCCAGTTCTTCTCAATTGATTCTGTATAATGAACTGGAAGGTAAGAAAAATGTTATAATTATAAAAAAAATTGATGCTCAAAGTGGCTAAAATGTCCTATATAAATGATTTTTTTATTTGAATTTATAGGCAATGATTTCCTACGATTGTAAGAAATCAGTTGAGTCATTCCAATTCCAACATAAAAAAATATATACACTGATTCGATGGACGTCGTTAAGATCGTCACTTAAAATTTATTACACCTGCGTAAACTAATTAAAAAGTTTTATATCACTTAATTTCAAATTTCCGCCAGTGTTATTGTGAATTCGGTCCGTACGAAAATAGCTTAAAGACATTTTGCTGGAATTTAATTAATACATTTTGTACAATTCATTAAGAATTAGAACCAATTTCAATTTAAGAATGAGAGTCAGAAAATGAAAACTGAAATACAGTAATAATGGAAAAATGATTACGATTGCGACACGTGTTTCTCGTCTAAACAAGGCATTATGAGGCAATGAATAGCGTTTGAAAGCCTAGTGTTGACTGTTCGGCGTATTATAGTCGTAGTCCATTAAGTAGTTCCAATTATATAAAAAAATATTATTTCTTCGTATATAATGCTCTTGGAGTGAATAGAAAGTAATCAATGAAGTAAAAAGAAATGACGGCTACTTTTTATAAATAATTAGCAGACCCGTCAAACGATGCTTTACTATATCTATCTAACTATCTCTATTAAAAATAGGGGTTGCTGGTAGAAGGGTGAATATTTAAGGCTGTATGAGTTTTTATTGGCAGATCATAAAAAAAATAGCCCAAAAAAAAAAAATATAGAGTAGGTTACCCTTATCTATTAGAATTATAAAGAACAGATAATATCGTATTCTGTTATCTACCGAGTGTATACTCGTGTATATACAATTTCATCTAACCATTTAGGAGAAGTATGGCAACTAACACATATACAAACACACACATATATACATATATATTAAAAAGCGAGTAATAGCTACTAATTCCTTAATAACAATAAATGTCGCGCCCCAAAAACAAAACTTGTTACTGTTTGAACTTCGAAAAACAAACAAAACTTCTCCACTCAACAAAGAAGCGTTCTCATTGTACTAGATAACTTCAGACACAATACTTACAAGATACATTTCTATGTTAATGACTTTTATATTATATATTTTCTTTACTTTAATTAATTAGCAAACATATTTATATGTGGCAGGTATAAGACTTGAAGCAGCTAACGTGCCAGTCGTTGTAATTAGTACTTTAATCAAAGTCACTCTTTTATAATGACTACTCACTTTGGCATTTTTTTATTATTCTTTATTGCACTTAAATATATTTGTAAGTATATTAATTACAACTAATGTTAACAAAGGAGGACTTATCTCTTAAAGAGATCTCTTCCAGTCAACCCAATAGAGCTTGGCTTCTCATGGGTTTACAGTGACTGGTACGACTATATACTAACATTATAAACGTGGAAATTTATAAGTGTGGATGGATGGATGTTAGTTATTCTTTCACGCAAAAGCTACGGAATATGTTTTAATGAAAGTTTACAATAATATAGCTTATATATATCATAATAATAGGCTTTAAATTTCACACTAACATTGTCATACTGCCAGTCTGATCCTTATCCTTACTTAATATTATATATGCGAAAGTAACTCTGTCTTCTTGTCTGTCGTGCTTTCACGCCATTATCATAGAACCTATTTAAATTATTAAAATATAGGCTACTTTTTAATGCAAAAAAACGTAAGGGGTTGAAAGGGGAGAAGAAAGGTTGTATAGAAGTAGTTTTTAAAGCTAGAAGCTAGAAAAACGCATAAACATACTGATATTAATAGTATGAAGAAAAATGATTTGATTTAATTACAATTGTACGTTAAAACATAGGACAGCCTCAGTAGGTTTAGGGGTTATGCACTCTTTACTTTCGATGGTAGCAGGTTCGATTTCTCGTACTGAACCGTACTATCAGTTGTCTAGTATTTATAAGACAAGCTCTACTTAGCTTGGTACTAGATGGCACTGTGTGAATTGTCCTTGGTCATAATTTTTTTTTAATTATCTAAATATATATAACTCAAAGGTGACTGACGTAGTGATCTATCAACGCACAGCCCAAACCACTGGACGGATCGGGCTGAAATTTGGCATGCAGATAGATGTTATGACGTAGGCTAAGAAAGGATTTTGATTAATTCTACCCCCAAGGGGATAAAATAGGGGATGAAAGTTTGTATGAAACTTTGTCAATTTTAAACCGATCGGGCTGATACTTTGCATGCAGAAATCTACTATGACGTAGGCATCCCCTAAGAAAGAATTTTGATAAATTCCACCCCTAAGGGGATAAATTAACGCGAGCAAAACCGCGGACAAAAGCTAGTCATTACATAGAATAGTAATCATAATAAAAAATATATAGTAATATATAGGTGGCACAGACAGTAATATCCTCGTCACAATGTCTATACCTCTGTAGAAATCTTCATTTGTCATCATTTTCGTTGTGGCTACATATACTTTGGTTTTCTCATCAGGCACTGGATACCCGCATCATTATAGGCAGTTTTTCGCAGGAAATGATTCCGAAGATCTTCTGCGAGGTAAGCAAATACAATCATCGTACCTATATGTACATATACGATGATTCTATCGTAAAATGACTGTAAATTTTGCCAATATTACAAAATGGACTGAAATTCGTTTTAAGATTCATAAATGACATTTATCAAATAGGAAAAACTTCTATTGTGATTAAATTGTTTTATAATTTTTTCATATAATTCGTTCTACCTAATTGTCACAAGAAATAATTTTAACTATTAAAGTGTTATCTTCATAATCAAAATTATGTATTCAGACATGTTATATTATAAATGCGTAAAGTATGTCTAAATGTTTGCTACTTTTTTACTAATAGGGTGATAATTAAATTTAATATGTATATAGATTGCATCAGGAACATTGTGCATTTTATTTAAAAAAAGCCAGTCAAGTGACTGGAGCTTGTTATCCTAAAAGTACCGTCTAGTTTAACTCAGTACTTCAGTTAAGAACTGGCAAGGAACTCAGCTGGTACATTTTATGTATGTTTTTTTTATCAGTCTTTTCGCTTACCAACCAGTGGGCCACATTTGTCATTCAAATTATATAAATAAAGAAATACAACATCACGAAAAGTCCCTTCTCTCCCATTGTCATACCATGTCACACATTGTCGACCCTCATCCCCGTGCGTCGTAATTTATCGATAGCCCTCTTTCCTTGTCACACTTTGTGGACCCCCACCTCTTAACGTGTGACATAACTTGTCACACGATAAGGGGTATATATGCATGTATAGTCTGTGACGTATGCCCGCAGGCATTCAAGCTAGGCATGTTCGGAGCGGAGTACGCGTGGGTTGTAGCTGGCGCCCCGCCCCGAGTACGCGGTGCGGCTCCGTGCGCGCGCGCACAGTTAGCCCGCGCTCTCGAGGGGCTGGTCACCGTGACCGCCCACAGAGGGCTCGTCGGCGACCTCGTCTCGTATTCCGGACTGGTGAGTCATCAATATATGTATACTAGCTGTACCGGCAAACGTTATTTTGCCTTAAAATAAAAAAAAAAATAGGGTTGGACCTAATATTTAGGAGGATGAAAATTAGATGTTGGCCGATTCTCAGACCTACTCAATACGCTCACAAAATTTCATGAGAATCGGTCAAGCCGTTTCGGAGGAGTATGGGAACGAAAACTGTGACACGAGAATTTTATATATAAGATATATAATATCATGAGCACTCGAGGAGCTGATCACCGTGATCGCGCACAGGGGGCTCGGCGGCGTCCTCATCTCATATTCCAAACTGATATTCAATGCATGTATATATAATAACACGCGCACACTCGAGGGGCTGGTCACTGTGACCGCGCTCTCGAGAGACTCATATTCTGAACTGTTGAGGAATGTATAAATCTGGCCCCTTCATATCTGATAAACTTGGATCTCTATTTTAAAGAAAAATGCTATTAATTGAGAGCGTCTTGACCTACTGGGTTACTACCTTGAATTATGCCCAAGAGTTCAAGTCTGGTCGACACCAAAAATGTCTATTAATTTATATTTCTGACTGAAATACCAACTCAAAAATTAATGCGAAAGATGGGGGCAGGCTCGCCAAGTTGGATTCAACTATACCCAGCAAAATGTGGACATGTCAACTGCTGCGTTTACCGCAACATCGCCAGTTGACAATTCCTTTGCCTGCCCCATCTGGGATAACGGTCGTAATGGTTATATACGTTTTGCAACCAATGTTACTTGTTTATATAGTAACTTACAATATGTGAAAGAATATTTACAATCAATTAGTTAATTTTTTACTTTCACCACAATAACTAAAATACAAATATTCAAACATGCACTTCGTGTAATATAATACGCAAAAGAAAAATTCATTTTACACTTACATATACTTACATAATATAACATTAGACTTTACTAATATTATAACATTGGAAAATGAGGACGTACTCCGCTAACTTTAAATAATAGACAAGGAAGACAAGGCGATTGTAATTTAAATATAAAACGAATACATAATGCATCTAAATCCAATCCCGCTTTGTATCATATTATTCAAACTTAATCAAAAGTTTCTTTCTATGATACTATCCTGCCTGTTTGATGTAAAGTTGATAACCGTTGCTTATTAACTGTGACAACACATTCTGACATACTTGTTGAACTTTCACCATGGCTACGGCAGATTATATTGTGGCGCGCTTACCTCTCGTGCGTTGATATACCTGAGGACTAAGTTACTACCTACTACTACCTGATGCCAACTGTACCAGAATCTTCGTCAAGTACGAGATTTTTAGTCTTCGGTAACACACTTGTATAAGAATGAACATGTTCATTCTTATACAAGTGTGTTGTACTAGTATTTAACCTATTGAAATTTGCCAAAATACGGTAATGTACGCGGTTAGAGAGGCAAATTAATGTACGAAATTTTATACGAGGGTCTTTACTTCTTCATACGAGGCTGAATGTTTGAAGGTTGGCAACCCTTACATTTCTATATACCCTGAAAATTCACTGCTAAGTCTCACCCATCAAAAAATACCACAGGTTACAAACCAACCTGCAGAATTGACTGAAACGGAAGTACCGACCCAAAAATCTCCTTCTGAACCTGATAAACAAACAATATTGTTCAGTTCATTCAATGACCGCGCAATTTTTTTATAGGTTTAGAACTGAAATTTTAATTGTAATTTATGATCCATAATTTATGATCCTAATGACAAAGCAAAAACCTTTGGAACAATTATAAATGAAATGTATCCCTAATTCCTCGGAACAATACCTTTGGAATAAACGAATGGAAGGATATATTGCGGTGAATTTTAATGAATGGACAATGTACCCACCAGGTGATAATTGCGATTTAAATGATGAACCGCCTATTAGGCTGCTGTAATAGCAATTATAGAATCCCTTCTATAAAAATTGCAGTATTTTTTATTCTCAACGTACACTATATACCTATCTGCAAATATTTTGCGTAATTTATAAGTAAAACGCAATTTGAAAGCATCATAGAATGCATTGTTATATAGTTCAACGGGTTTTAACACTAAAAGAATGAGCATCGTAAAATAGTCACTAGTGGTCGCGAGTTCAAATCTAAAGGATTAAAAAAATAGGTTCATTATAATATTTCTTCTATAAAATAAGTACCGTTTTAAAATATATGTAACTAGCTGCCCTGCGAAACTTCGTCTGCGTAATTTTTTCCTCCATTTAATAACACTCTTCAAAATAGATTCAATAGATCCCTACAACCCCAAAGTTTACCTCTTTATAATATTAGTATTGATTGTTTTCTTTGTAATACTTTATTGTACAATAATATTATAAATAAAAGGACACTATTGACGTACAATGGCGGACTTATCCCAAAGGAGGGATTTCTTCCAGTCAACCTTTGAGTTACTGAGAGGAATTGTGGAGTGATGGTAATAGGTACAATAAATAATACGCGTCACAATGAAATATATAGGTACACAAAAATAAACAAACATATATAAATTAATGTAGTATAAATAATAAGAATATAACTACTTACGGTAAACTAATACAACAATCAATAATTAGTATTGATTGTTATTCTTTTTATTTGGTTTAATATAAAAATAATCGACAAATATGTATAATAAACCATTCTAATGACATAGATGGAGTCATTCTAAATTAGATATATGTAGATCACAAAATCATCAAAATTTCCACGTAGCAACTCAAGGCAGACAAACCTTTATCTGCCATATAGCGGCACCAGCTGGCTAAAATACCAACAAGATACGGAATTATATTCAAATGGAACGGTCTCAACTGTTCAACATTACCATCAAACCTTAATGATTTCTACATTCATGAAATGGCAAAATTAGTGGAGGATGAACATAACAAAAAAGTAATGTAAACTTTTTAAATTAAAAAATCAAGACGAGAGATGAACTAGCGAAATCATAACTCTGGAGTGCCCTCAAATGAAAGTCATATTCGTCAGGTAGGAGTTGGCCTTCAGTCGCTTCATAAGTCTTCCGCGGGATTGGAGTGCCATCTGTACTCGCCCCCTATCGTTCGGTGGAGCTATCAAGGCTCGCCGCGGAAAAAAAAATTGCATATGTTACATTATTAATTCACCAATTACATTTTTATAATAATATATTTATGATTGTTAAAATATGCATGTATTGCTAGAAACGCTACTACTATACTAACAATATTTAATATATACTAACATCGAAAGTATGTCTGTCTTTGTATCTGTTTATTATCATTTCTAATGACTGTACGAAATTTTGATGTTCTTATCTTTAAGATAATGAAATTATCCCTGAAGTTATACCATGTCACGAGAATTGAAATAGATTTCAGGTACCTTTTATATCAAACTGTATATATGAGGGGATGATGAAGTATAAAAAAATTGTGCAGACGACGTCGCATACAATTGCTAGTATTATAATATTTTCTATGGTAATTAGTAAAGAATAATTAGAGAAACGGTCGTAATATATACGAGTACCATGACATCTATATGGGTCGAAACTTGATAAACGGTGAAGAGATTTCCATACCGGCGCGTGTAGTAACAACTTATTAGAATAATATGTACATAAATTTGTGTCTACTGACTCTTCCAGGTTTTGGGTACTGTATTACAAATTAACAACCTACCTACACAAATGAACGGAGCAAATCTGTGCAAACAGTACCTACCTGAGCCTGTTCATCTTTTATTCATCGGCCTCCTAATTCAGTTTCGGGAATAAACGTAGGCAGCTCCGACTGTGGGATTATTCTCTGTGTGCGACGAATTGGTAGATATTTTGAAGGTTAATCTTAGATTTTTATAAGTGCCTATCTAAATGTCAAATTCCACTTAAAGCACCTACAGGTTTGCCACAGTTTTCAGTATTTACTTTGGTGACAATTTGCGGTATTTACGTAAGATATAATTCCCTGTCTCATGCAGAGATGAGAGTTTTGTCACAATTTGCGAAATTTGTTTATTACTTCTTAAGATCTAATTTATGGTTGTCTATATGAAAGTTTACTTTCCTCATCCGAATTATTATTCAAAATCCGCTTTCCCTCTTTAATATTGGTATTATAGTTTTCATATATCCTTGTTGGTGTATGTTGTTTGCTGCATGAACATGATTACTGACTTTTTACTTTGACTCATTATCCTTTGAGTTATTCTTTCCAAGGGGGACGTTCTCTTGGTAAGAGTAAAGGTAAGTACGCATGAGATTTGGATTCCCCTCCCTCGACTCCAAATAACTCACTAAATTAATTATTACTGTCCAAGAAAAAATGACAATCAGAACCTATAGACGTCCCTTTGAAGAAAAATAATAGGTATTATTTGCCGATTCCTTTCTCTTGCCCACTTGAGTTTGAAAGAGTTCGATGCTACCCCCTACCGCCTAAATATGTCACAAAATGAATGCTTGTCCCCTTTATTACTGATCCTGTATATATCTTATTGTTATAATATGGCACTTATCAGCTAACAATGTTTCAATATACATAAATAAATATATTTTCTATCTTCTTTAAGCCATTTGTTTTTCGAAGACATGTTGGCCCCATCATTTATTTATTTATTTACATCATACTGAACGAGCTTTACAGCTTTTCAGGTATATATAATAAATACACTAATTAACAGAACAAAAATTTGATATAAACTTTACAACAACATAATTATGTAATTTTGATACAACCTAAATAATCTAGTGCCATCCTTCGAAAATCCAGAAAATTACAAGTAAATTATATGTATGCATAACCATAGTTGACACACCTGTTCTATATCACAAATTAAATAAGTTGGAGAGAAATGAGACAGCAACACATCAATGTGGAGTATCTAAATATGGGTCTGCAAATAATAATACGTAGGTAAGGAATATGATTTACTTTTGCCTTAGATTTCTTCTTAAGCCGATTGAATATCATTCCACTAGATATACATTACGAGATTAAAAGATTAAATAATCTTCTGATGAATTTCGGAGTCAAATCAGTGGATATGGAATACAATCAAGCAAAAATACGACTTACAGACATTTTTATTATAATAAATAATATATTATTACGACTCTCATCCCAGATGGGGTGTTTCGTGGATATATCTACAAATAGTCCCATAACAATATACATTGTATTGTAGTATGTATTCTAAAACAAATTGAGTTGGGAGTTGTAGACGCTGCGGCATACACTATTTTGGCATCAAAGGAGAAGGAGAATGTTAGGACAAGGATGAAATTATAGTTAGCTCATTATGGCAAATTCACCAGAAATAAACCCAGTTATTCCGAGTTATGATCAGAGTATATTGGCTGCCAGTAGACCCGATTACTAAAAGTCGCCTCCCCCACTTAAAGAGTAGCTTTAAACCCATCTTTTACTACCTAAATAAATATCGGAATATTTAAAACAATCGTCTCTTAGTTTCCTTTCTAAATAAACATGCAATATTCCATAATAATATAGCGCATCAAATAGACGTCGTCATAGAGAAGTCTCTTCATATCTGTCAGGCAGGAGATGGTCTTCAGCCGCTCCATAAGTCCTTCCGCGGTTTTGGAGTACCATCTGCATGTCGCTCGTATTCCATCGCTCGCTATCGGTGAAGTTGTAAAGGCCAGTTGCGGCCAGCAGCATTTGAATAATTTGAAAAAAAAACGTTGTCTAAACGCAAAAAATCTGTTATATTAGTCTATTTTGTTATCACTCACATCTTACCCTCATTCCTCGTCAGTAAGTAATATGTCTTTAAGTAAAATAAGGAGAGAAAATACAAGTAAGTCGTAACTTAGAGGTTATACTCTCACGAAATAGGCTATAAAAATATGGCGTCCCAACCTCGGCAAACATTGTAGTGATACGGCCATGCAAACATTGCAATACTAGTCCGCCCCTAACAGACTGGTTATAAAACATACTCAGTATTTTATCACACGGACATAAATTTTACACCGATAATTAGAGTAAGAGAGAAACTATGCTCAGGGTTTCATTGTTTGATAGAATAAAAAAGGTATACTTTGTGAAAAATCGTCTACTTATATGCTGCTTCCTGACCACTTCTGTCTATAGCTACCAACTACAGTTACCAGCTTGCTTAGGAAATAAAACCCATCGCTCAAGAATATGTTTCAATTGTCCCTGTCAGGTCTAAATAGGTCAGGTCAGGTCTAACGAACTTTGAAAAAGGACGATCACCACATACCTATGTGGGCCGCAGTGTGTCTTAGCATTTGGCAATAACACAAAAACCTCAATAAAATAAAATAAAAAAACGAACTTCCATCTACAGTTACCACTCAATGCATATAGCGATCTCTTACACGTAATATACGATGAGCTGTCAGCATAATTCGAATTCCAACTATATAAAAAAATCTTAATAACTCGCATTAAACGTTCTTTAATTTTATTATCCCAAATGCTTCCTACCCTTCAGTATTTATGTGTCGCGCCTCTACATATATAATGTGTGACATACATAGTTTATTCTATATAAACAAAAAATACAAGAAACATATATATCCTCTTTATAACATTACCATCCATGCTCATATTTGTGTATAACGATCATAATTATGTAATGATACAAGTGCAATAAAGTTTATATATATATATATATATATATATATATATAATTCCAAACCTACCACGAAATTATGCGCATAAAACTTATGACAACGTAATCAACTTAGTTGTGAATATAATAAAATAGAGTTACTTAACTTAATTACATACTATGACTAAGGACTAAGTTACTTAGCTTAATTACATAGCGAACATAAAATGATAATGAGATTTCCATTTGTTGCAGACAAATGAGATGTTCTATCGAGAAATGGAAAGCGCCGGCGTTCCAGTATCGCCCTACGCTCCGCAGACTTACGATGCCGTTTGGGCAATAGCCCTGGCAATGAGCAAAGCTGAGAATCTCTGGCGAAAATTAGAAATGACCGACAATAATGGAACATTACACAAGGGCGGTTGGAAACTCGGATTGGGCCACTTCGATTATGACAGAAAGGATATGGCCGAAGAATTCTTGAACCAACTAGCCAACCTTAGCTTTCTGGGTGTTTCGGTAAATTTATTTATGTCCCACTTTACTTGAATATAATCAGAAATTTAAAGTTATACTGAGTTAGAGTTGGAAGCCTTTGAAAAGGGCTGTTGGATTTATTTCTGAGACACTTATTAAATATTTAGTGAAGTTACAGTTTTAGAATATCAAGTATTTCTTAGACCTTAAGATTTCGTATATAATCAGATGTAAACCATCCATACAAAAAAAAACATAGTAAATATTTGGATACTTAATTTGTTTATTTATTGCTGATGACTTTTTTTTTTATCTTTATTGCACTTTAAAGAGTGTACAAGAGGCGAGCCTTAATGCCATATAGCATTCTCTACCAGCTAACCTTTATGTGAAATGTTCTTGAAAATATACCAGTTTATACAAATCATGGTCAGTTTTCGCACTGATTTGAACCGTAGATTTGAAAAATGTATGTATTTGGAACAAACTATGAACTTAATTATAGAAGAAAAACGATACCTAATAAATACATCATTCTACATAGAATTCTTCAACGTATCCGATCACAATAACTTCAATGCCTACAGAAATGTGATCATTACGTAACTTATATTTAATATTTGAATGGAGTAATTTCTTCCAGGGTCCAGTTTCATTCAACGGAGCCGACAGAATAGGAACGTCTGCATTTTATCAAATACAAGGTATTTACAAAAAAAACCGTACTAAACTTATATTAGTGGCACGGCACAAATGTATTTGTTACAAAAACAACAGCTAACAATCCAATTCCTAAAATCAACAGTACAATTCTAAAGAAATACAGATTTTCAGAGACTTAGCAAAAGACAAAATTCCACTATTAAAACCTCGGAGATGATGCGTATTAATGTATTGGTGGCCACCAATAACTTTGTGTTTTATGTTACATTTGCGACTAACTTTAGATAGTATGGTAGTAGATTTGCTTCCATCTCTCATGTTAAGATTTACACTTGGCACCACACATGATTTGTAAAGAACGGCTAATGTAAAGCGCTAAAGGGATATATCGAATTCCATATAAGCCGTGCCAAAACTCATAGCTGTTTCTTAAAAAGTGGACAGCTGACAATGCCTCTGACTATCCCATTTGGGATTATAGTTAGGGAGAAATTGTTTTAATTTATTATTTACAATTCTATCATGGTTTATTCACAGTTCTATCTAAGTTTATTGTACAATAAAATTGTTTTTATCTGCTCCAAATACCTACGTCTCTAGACTGAGTTCATAAATAATAAATTGTATACGATTTATTGCTCACTGTTTAGTTACTCTTAATATTCATTCGCTTAGAGAAGGGGAATAGGGTCACAATTTGTACCATGGCAGGTCGATTTCCATGTGGTTCTTTTAGGAACTATTCTTGATGAATTTGTCAGGATTGAATAACTGACCTGACATGTTTATATTACTATCCTCCATTTGTGCCAGGCGAGGCTCAGGCGAGTGAGCAATTTATAATGTACATTAGAAAAAAAAACATTGTTGTTATCTTTCTCAAATACCTCTAAATTGAGTTCATAAATAACAAATGGTGGTACAAGTCATTGCTATTTTGTTACTTTGACCATCCATTCGCATTAGTTACAATAAATCGGCTTATTTCAAGCACATCACGTTATTCCAATCCACTTGTATAAATTGTTTGCGACAACCTAAATACATAATTGAATATCTACTGCTCCATGGCGTTTTGATCTGTGACCGTTTTCTTATCCCATTTCTTATTTCAAGTAGGAATTAGGATTCCCTAACAAAAAAGATATAACATCGTGTTCAAGCCACGAAATAACACACTATAATCGTATTATTAAAACAAAAACTACGGGTACCGAATGTCTTCTAGACAACTTTTGACTAGAAATAATCTTTATTATTCGTTCATTCGTAATTTAAGAGCCGCGCTCCTGCCGGCGGAGCTCTTGCCATTTTCCACGATTTTCCACAACCTCTTTAGTTGTTGATACGATACGATTCCAACTTTTTTCTTGATCTGCTTGATAGAGATGTGTCTTCGTCTTACCCTTTCGCTCTTTCATTCTATTTTTCCTTAAATAATATTAATCATAAGTTTGTCGTGTCGTGTCAAATGCCTCATGCTACCATTTATCTCCGCCTATTTCCAATAATATTTATGATCTGTCTATGAATATTATTTATATGAAGTTTAATTGATAAAATTAAAAATTTTATCGTCCACCTATTCGGATTACAACTTCAGCACAGCACAGAACTTTACATTTTCAATTCTAAATACAACTAATAGGTAACAAATATCACAGCTTCATTAGAGTAGAAGTAATCATTACCATTTTATTTATAGGTGGACGACCAAAAACAGTAGCTCTGTATATCCATGGTAGGGAACTGAGGTGTAAAGACTGTGCGAGACCACAATGGGCTGGTGGTATACCAGCCGCGAGGAGAGTCCTGGTACTCAGGGTAGACTCCGTGTGGGCGCCGGCGAGACTCGCCGTGGCGGCCTTGGCTGCTGCTGGTGTAGCTCTCGCTTTAGCGTTCTTAGTGTTCAATTTGCATTATAGTAAGCGAAGGTAAGCCTATACACATTCCTCTTAATCTTTATATATTGTACAAAAAATATATATTTAATAAGATGTCTGTTAGTACGAATATTTATATATTTTCTATTTAGGATATTAAGTTTAGAGGAAAATAAACTCAGGAACCACTAATTATTACATTTAGTACCTATATTAAAAACTCATCAGTTATGTACGCCTAGACGAATACAGGATAGGCCACTACTTACTTAACATGTTATCTACTGACATGTATATTTACTCATTTCTAGTCTATGGATCTTTGAATGTGCTAATTGAAACTAGCAGTTGAATTTGAAAAAACTAACGATGATGGGAACCTCGCGGATAACGGTTGCACATTTTTCGGTTTAGTCGGACGATTGTGATCCTATTTGCATAGCGAGATTAGTTACAACTCTCTTTAGAAATGCGCCAATAAGAGCTCGGTCGCATAGAAAAATCGTTCGACTGAATAATGTGTGACCACACTTAGAGTTTAATGATCTGCAGTTGTCAGATTACACTAAATTGGAGACCGTGAGACCAAAAGTAGTGTAGGCAGACCACAAACCGTGCAGAAGGGACACCGATCGTAGAAGCATATGTTCAACAGTGTACTAGTGAATAAAGTCTACAGTTATATTCTATTTTGTTTCAGATCCATAAAATTGTCATCACCACGGCTCAACAACATGACCCTTATTGGCTGTGTGTTAGTGTACACCGCAGTGGCCTTGCTGGGACTCGATAATGCCACGCTGCCTTCTTACGTACCCTTCTCCGCTATGTGTACCGTAAGTAGTCGCCGGGAAGAAATAGATAACTCTATAGGGCGAAATGACTGCCTGTTCTTTATCACAACTAAGTCTTGAAAGTACAGTGCTGGCCAACAAGGAATGTATCATTTGTATATTATTAGAAAATGTGACTTTTTTATCATTACCTTTTTAATATATTTGTTTGTTTGCTCTATTGCGTAAATCCTAATTTCCAAAAGGTTATAGGCCCATAACTTTTAGGAATAGGGAATAAGTAAATTTGTCTAGTGTCAATGTACCAATCTTTACTATTTAAATATTTTAACTATTGTGTAAATCTATATTTCCAAGTTAAAAGTAAGGAGACTTTTAGCTTAATAACTTTTAAGTCTACTACATTATAAATTCTTGCTATACAGCGGCGCTGCCTGTCTGAAGTTTGGGGTAACATGGATTTTACTTTTCACAAACTGTGGTGTACTATTTAAAATATTATCTATATCCATAATTTACGTATGTACCTACTATTTACTTTTAGTAATGCTCCTGCGAAGTATAAAGTCGAAAAATCTATTTAATATTGTTTCCCCATACGAATTTTTACCCTCTTACGTTTTCCATTTACTTATTCCTCATCTAAATCTTAAAAACAAAACCTGAGAAAAATAATTTTTTGGGTCCAAGTGTTTACGCTGGCGTTAATGATTCAGCTCCGATTCTATTTTATTTATTTATTTATTTATTATCGGAAAACCAAGGCTATTTACAAACATAGTTATAAATATAATTAAATGAGAACGGCCACTTATAGGTTTTCACGGATAGAAACGTAATATAAAATAAAATAAATTAAATTATTATATATATTAATTTATATGCGAAGATTAACAATTACAATTTATAAATATATTCTTTACTACACTTTAAGATACCATAATAATACTAATTGGAAGCAATCTGAGCAAATGTAATTTTACATTATATATATTTTCTTGAAGCAAACTTATACATTTGCTTATTTCAGGGTAGAGTCTACATCCTATCGGCTGGTTTCTCCCTAGCGTTTGGCTCGATGTTCGCCAAAACCTATCGAGTTCATCGTATATTTATAAGGTTCGTATTTACGATACATGCGACCTCTACATCAATAAATCTAGAGCATTTATCCTTTTTGTTCGCACAGTGATTGTCACTCGAACGGTAGTTGTAATAAATCTCTGGAGCCGTAATGGTGACTATGTATAGGCAGAGACTACGCAGTAAAATACGAGTTTTGATTCTCTGGTGTAGGTGAGCAATAAACAATTGTTACGACTATAATTATTGAAATTATGATTACAGGAATGAAATATGTTTAGCGGTTTGGTGATATTAAAAAAAATAACAACCCCAGACGAATCATACCGCCATCTACTCCCAAACTATGCAGAACTTACAATATTAAACAACTGATGCATGCATACGTGAATACAAATGCGAGAAAAAAGATTTAAATGTCAAATAAAACAATTCCTTTGCAAAAAAGCTTACTATAAAATTTAAGAATTCGTTAACGATAATATTTTATAGAAAAACTTTAAATCCATAGCACTGGCAATATTATCTGATTACACTAATAATGAGTGCGTAGCGATTTCTATGTTGATTATCGCATGCCTCTTACTCGTTATACTGTAATTATTTATATAAAAAAACATCTATTAAAAAGAGCAACACACAAGTTTCTTGCTCATTCTTCTTGTGATGAATCTGCATTCCGAATGAGTGGTAGAATCAAAATATGATTATTCAAAAGTGCTTGTAATGCGTTTATTTGAATAAAGATAATTCTATTTCTATTTCTTATTTTTATTTACAACAATGCTAAATAAACTCTACTATAGAGGATAACCATCATATGGAAATGATCTGCAGGGATCGAACACGTCACCTTTTGTAAAGAAAGGCAATGTACAATAGCATGTGTTAATTAGACACAATCAACAACAAACTACCAAACCAGAAATCAAAGATTTACTTGGCGTAACCAAGGATCCAGTAACTTTACAAATTACTGGAACATGATTTGAACTTGAATCTTTGGCTTCACACATCATAGGCAAAGAACTTAAACAAACAGTTATTCTGCAAATAAGCGAAGTAATAGAACACATTGCAAACCATATTAAAGATTAGAACAGAAAAATCTACAATTATCTATAAATATAAATAAAATAGGAGTCTCTGTTTGTAATATTGAAAAATTTTTACTACATGCATATGAATATAAATATAAAAATAATTTTTTACTATTTTTGTCCGTCTGTCTGTCTGTTTGTTCCGGCTAATCTCTGAAATGTCTGGACCGATTTTGAAGTAGCTGATGTAATAAAGAATGATAAAGAACAGCTACTTTTATTTTAGAAAAATAAAGTTAAATTCCATGCGGACGAAGTCGCGGGAACAGCTAGTATAATATATAGTAATAGCTGTAATTCTATACATTTCCAGTAACCGCAGTGGAGTTTGCAAGACGAAGCTCCTGCAGGACACACAACTAATTTCCTTAGTCTGTGCATTACTGGTGATCGACGGCTTAATAGTAACCTTGTGGGTTATGCTTGACCCAATGGAACGACACCTTAAGAACCTAACTATAGAGATCAGCGCCACAGATCGAAGTGTTGTTTATCAACCGCAGGTTCGAGTCTCCTTTAATATAAATGTATTCGCCTCTTTATTAACTGCTGTAGAAAAATTATAAGAATGCTTCTTTTCTTTATGTAATTGGAATAATAATGATAACCCTTGAAAATTCACACAGCGCCATCTAGTTCCAAGCAAAACCGAGCTTGTGCTATGGGTAATAATTATTTTGACAATGGATCTATTCAAACAATCATTCTCAATAGACAAATGTTAGCACCGTGCAGGGTATTGAACCTGCAACCATCGGAAGTAAAGCAGTGTGGCAAACCGCTAGACCAGTATGGTGAATGACAAACAAACTCACGGTCCATCTATTAAGAATTTTAGTGATGTTTGTTTTATTAGACGGTTCCATTACTTAAATAGAAAATAAGCTGAAGCCCTACATGATGGACCATGCCAGTCCGATAACTTACTAAAGCTTCGGCAGTGTCACAACCAGGAGAGACCTAAAGCCCTAAAAAAATACAGATAAAATGTCGTAAGATTGAATTCGTTAATATAAACTCAAACATTTTTATTTTCTAGATAGAAGTTTGCAAATCTCAGAACACTACCGGATGGCTATGCGCTCTCTACGCTTATAAGGGATTGCTCCTAATCGTCGGTGTGTACATGGCTTGGGAGACCAGGAATGTGAAGATATCAGCTCTCAACGACTCCAAATACATCGGGATCAGCGTTTATTCCGTCGTCATTACAAGTACTAGTGTGGTCGTGATTGGGACAATAATTTCTGAAAGGGCTACACTAGCGTACATCACGATTACCAGTCTCATTCTTATTACAACAACATCGACACTGTGCTTGCTATTTTTGCCAAAAATTGTGGCTATTATGAGAAATGGTGAGTTGCTTCAGGGAAGAAACTAAATCTTAGCGTAATAGTAGACATATGATCAATATTTAGTTAGCTTGTAGTTGTTGAAGTGCCTAGTAGGAGTGTGGTACCCATAAAAATTCAACCATAATCTGGAGTCATAGATAAATTGTACCATAAAGGTATGATTATCTCAACCTAAGTTTCCGAGAAATAAAGTTATTCTTACGAATTCAATTATATTTTGTAATTCCAGTGGAAGAAGATCCTGTCATCCAAAGCATGGGACTCAGACTAGAATGTAAAACTAGAAGATTTGTCACGGACGAGACCCAAGAACTGCATTTTAGAATAGAAATACAAAATAAAGTGTACAAAAGAGAAGTAGCAGCACTAGACAAGGAGATTGGAAGACTGGAGAAGTTGCTAGCGGAGCCACTGGAGTCTGCTAGTAGTTCCAACGTGTCCATTTCTTTACATAAACGAGTAAGTTATATTTCTCCAACTTGAAGTACGAATAAACAGACAATAACGCCCATGCGCGAAAAGGCAAATTTATATTTATGCTATATTACTTTATTATTCAAAATATTTTAATGCATAACATAATCAGGTCATAAATCATAAGATTTTACTCTCAACTCCTTTCGTATGCCTGATACAAATTGATTAGACCAGGATAAAATTTAGACCAACAGATACCTAGGTATTCATTGGAAGTAAATTCAATAGATACAAGTAAAGTTTGTTGACCGAGAAAGAAAAACATAACCCAACTATAACATCAAAATTATTCAAGATACCTTTCCTAAAAAAAATCATACTATTATATTTTTTCAGACTGAACTAAATACTGTAGAAGAAGAAGGCCGAACTCGATCAGACTCTGATAGACGTACTCCCAGCATTAGCGGCGGCCTACCAATGCTCCTGCTTTCTGTACTCCCACCAGTCATACCTAGAGCGAGTTGGCCTTCAGCAGAAGCCTGCAGAGGTCGAAACTCAGTCAGCTTCAGTTCCCAACCCAAACTCTTCCATAGAAAATCACAACCAGCTATAGATTTGTACAGTCTGTGTTTAAATAAGCGAGAAGAAAATCCTGGTCTCCTAAGTAGACTAAAAAGCTTTTTCGGAAGCAGACCATCTAGTAGGAAAGCATCAACGATGTCTATAGCAGATCCTACTGGACAAAGTATAGCAGCTGCTTTGAAGATGCACGTAGGAATGATTGCAGGTCTAGTGCCAGGAAACAGGAAACATTCAATGGTGTTATCGTGCAACACATTACATGTACCACATCCAGAAATAAGATTACGAAGAGAGTCATACGCTAAAAGTGGACCGATCATACGAGTGACTGATGACGAACCGTCCTGTTCCTATCAATCAGAAAGGAGTATATCATCAGGTGCACAAAAGTACATCGCTGAACCTGAGACTAAAGTCAATTTTGTACTTCCAAGTACCCATAATAAATCAATGTCCCATCAAAATTCTAGTGAGAGGATCAAAGGTTCGCCGAGGTTTCCTCATAGGATATCACCAACTGCTCTCAGCTTAACAACCTTAGATAATAGACGGAAGACAAGCGCGGATAGTGTGTTCAGTATAGCAGGGAAAGTGTATGATGAACAGAGAAGATATAGTCATCAGAACGTTAGTGATCAAGAGTCTAAAACTAAAGCAATTTTAGAAAACAGGTGGAAGTCCACGGAAGACGCCAGGCCTGGACCTTCGTCAAGTAACTGAAACAACTAAATTGTAGCTCAATGTTAGCAATTTAATAATAAAAAAAAATATAGCTAATAATAACGTTGTCCTGTCCGGAAAGGCATCACCTACTGTTCAATTGTTTTTCAACCATCCAAGAACCCCTTAAAATATAAACTGAAAAATTTATATAAATCTGACCAGCATATTGGAGGAATTATATACGTACAGACAAATCAACAGTCCACATTTTAAATAACGATGATTTCACAAATGTTTTACTTAGCCATATAATATTTTTTCTGTAATATAACAATACAACAAAAGTCCTAAATGCTTGTTTAATACACCCATTAAGTCATGAGAACCAATAATTAAATTTATTGCTCGTAATAGTTACTATTGCAAATTTTAAAGCTGTGGGTAAAATGGTAAAAGTCATCGATGATGCAGATAATAATAGAAATAGAGTTGCAGATGCAAAGTTTACGATTCGCAAGTGCTACTGTTAAATGGTACATACTGCAGAATTGTAGATTTGAATTCAATCATATGAGAATATCTAGTAACAGTCTTAACTAATTAAGACCCCGATTTTTAGCCGATTCACAATATCCTTGATTATAGACAAAAAATGTACATGATGTGCTATGAAATTAAGAATTTATCTTATTCATTCATAATTTAAGAGCCGTGCTCTTGTCCGTTTCCTACGATGTTCAATGAATATCTTTATCGTCTTCCTGTTTTCCTCCCTTTCCTTGTATTCTTCGTTCATAATTTCATCGTGTCGTCATCGGAAAAATGTTAGGGCACTTAATAAAGTGCCCTTACATTTTTCCCCGCATAAGAATTTCCCTACTGTCATATATTTGTAGTATGTAATTATGTGAATGTTAGTTATTTAAAAAACTATGTAAATAATGTAGAAAAGGTAATACAGACTGCTATAAGTCGTAATGTAAAAGGACATTTAACACCAAAGAGTAGAATTTAGAATTGTGTGATTGTTCATCGGGTATTTTTCATTTGCATATTTTTCTTGTTCTTAGTTATATTATTACAAGTATAATTTATAATTGGCTTTTGAGTTGTTGACACAAATGTATGAAAATCTGTTTTTTGTTTGTGATAAAGCTTATTGTAATTATGCGACATTAATTTCTTGTTAATTATGCGGATTTCTTCATAGCGTAGAACAAACTTACATACATACTTAATTTGTATTATAGTTAATTATAAAATATAAGGTGTGCCAAATTGTGTTAATATTATGAGACAGGTGTAGAATATATTGCGTTTCCGACCTACGTGTTGGAGCGATTTTCATAATGCGTCTGTTTGTATTGCTCTTTTTTTAATCTATACATTGTGAATATACAAAAAATACAATTATTTAATACCAAACGTAACAGCATTATAAACAAAATTTTAATTTATAAATACATATAACATCACATACTGTTACATATCTGTAAGATATATATATTACTGTTTTTATGTTGCATATATAAATAGAAAAAACTATAATTTTTATTAAATAGAATTATTGTCAGCGTACTGTTGCAGCCGAAAAGCTACTTATATTCGGTGTAAGCCTTTTAGTAAATAACAGATTATAAAATCAAGCTACTCGTAGATTAATTCATAAAAAACAAACAGACTAAATACTTATGAATACAAAACATTTGTATTATGCGGAAATCAAACCAGCAACTATCCGCAGGTTATAGCTGTGTAATAAACATGTGTGAATATAAGTTTCAAATGTTAAAAAAATATTGTTTAAAATAGCTTGGCTCTTGATTTTAAAACGTTAAATAAACATCAGTGTTTATTATCTGTGGATTCCATGTTATATAGTATTAACTTTATCAAGCAATATAGTATATCACTCTACATGTGTCATTAAATGTCGCCTACACAGAAATGTAGTAGGCATGTTAGTTTTAGAAATTATAATGTAAACTTGCCCTTATATTTTAAGAGAGGTCCTAGAGAAGTGTTCATATTTTATATGTATAAAAAGGGATTCTTAAATTATCAGATTCCTTTAGACTTTCTTCCGTGTGAGATATGTAATTAAATTTTCAAATATTCATGGTTTTTTTTTTCTTAATAACCTTTTTACCAGTTTTTTTTAGTATACACTCGTACTGTACATGTATTATATATATAAACCTTCTTCTTGAATCACTCTATCTATCTATGACATATATATGCATACATAGGGATGGACAGACAGCGACAGCTACTTTGTTTTCTATATATATATATATGTATATATAATGAAATGCAAGAAAGGAAGATTATGATAATCATATGCATAGATCACATTCATTCAGTGTGAGATATACAATAAAATTTTTAAATACCTATGTTTTTCTTACGAACCTATTCACCAGCTTTTCTTTTAGTATAGCAGTGTAAGAAAAAGAGAGTACAAAGATCAGATTGTATAAGTTTCACATTCACATATACTTAATTCCTTTTTTACTTATATCTACATCAGCCAATGTATATTGATATGTTTTTGTGTTACTGTTTTTATATATTTAATTATTTCAAGTGTTCAATAAAACATAAAATAATTAAATACATAAAAACAGAAAATAGAACAAAAAAAAATGTGACCATAATTAGATGTCATTTAAAGAAATTCTGACACCAAACTTTAGCGACAATCTTGAATTTCTATAAACTTTTAAAATAAAAAATAGTAAATAATTTGTATACATTTATTCTTAATCTTTGATATTGTCTTCTATTATATACAATTTCTTTTCATTCATTTTATATTACTATAAAATTATGATTATTGTGATCTTGGAGAGGTTTTACAACAGATACAAAACAATAGACAACGCAAATATATTACTAAATTAAACTCACCTTTATGTTACACAATTATATCACCTGTTATTTTTATCAATCTCTAAAAAAATTTCATCGTCAATTTAATGTTTCTTATATACGCAGTTGAAATCCAAATAAATACTAAAATCTGTCTGAGCATCTGATAACCTTTTCATGACTAAGCGACTGCACCTATCTTCATAAAATTTCACGTAAAGTTAAACTGTCAGCAACTGATAGGCTTTTCATCTGCTCCTTTATATATGGGTAATATCTATTATCTAATATACACATATCTGCACAATCAATACCTTTTGTATTCCAAATTTACGCAACATTTCTGACCAAACCTTTTTCCACCATCCTTACCACTCTATCATCAATGAGTCGTTTAATATTAGCGTTCACATTTGGCAGTTCACTATGCTTCCTCACTGAAGTCTCAATTTTCTGCACCGTTTGTATTTCCCTTGGCCAGGCCACAAAATTTGTAATAGTGCAGTTATCAGGAGAACCTATCCTGCCAGTTCTACCACATCTGTGTATATAGTCGGCGGTGTACAGTGGGAAATCGTAGTTAATTATATGCTGCGTCTGTAAAAGGAATTTTAGTAGGATTTTTAATTCCTATCTAAATCAATGTTGGTAGAAATTGACTTTTTGTTTATAACGAATAAACTCAAAACGACGTCGTCGACGACGTTCTATCAACAACTAAAGCGATTGATGGAAGATCGTGGAAAATAGCAAGAGCTCCACCGACAACAGGGCGGCTTAAATTATGAAATTTTAAAAATAATTTCAATTATACAAAGGAACATTATTAAACATAGGCTATTTTAAAATGTAACAGAAATAGTAAATGATCATCAGATGTTTTACTGTTTCTGTTACATTACCCACCACCACCACGACCACTTTTCTTCGACTAGGTCATCAGCCAGTGGTAACAGTCGCTGGTAGACATAGAGAACACCACTCATGCATTACTATTTCTAAGGTCCAGGCTATTTTAAAATGTAACAGAAATAGTAAATGATCATCAGATCTTTTACTGTTTCTGTTACATTACCCACCACCACCACCACCACTTTTCTTCGACTAGGTCATCAGACAGTGGTAACAGTCGCTGGTAGACATAGAGAACACCACTCATGCATTACTATTTCTAAGGTCCAGGCTATTTTAAAATGTAACAGAAATAGTAAATGATCATCAGATGTTTTACTGTTTCTGTTACATTACCCACCACCACCACGACCACTTTTCTTCGACTAGGTCATCAGACAGTGGTAACAGTCGCTGGTAGACATAGAGAACACCACTCATGCATTACTATTTCTAAGGTCCAGGCTATTTTAAAATGTAACAGAAATAGTAAATGATCATCAGATCTTTTACTGTTTCTGTTACATTACCCACCACCACCACCACCACTTTTCTTCGACTAGGTCATCAGACAGTGGTAACAGTCGCTGGTAGACATAGAGAACACCACTCATGCATTACTATTTCTAAGGTCCAGGCTATTTTAAAATGTAACAGAAATAGTAAATGATCATCAGATCTTTTACTGTTTCTGTTACATTACCCACCACCACCACGACCACTTTTCTTCGCCTAGGTCATCAGAGAGTGGTAACAGTCGCCGGTAGACATAAAGAACACCATTCATGCATTACTCTTTGTGAGGACTAATTATTTATCCTCTAATTATGTAATTATGCCTTTCAATCTATAAACAAAGCATACAAAGCGAGCTGATTAGCAGCATGTAATAGTATGTACATCTGCACATCAGTCTACGAATGAATGTGTCCTTTAGACGCCTTCTCAAGCGTTTTCCATGTGTTCTTATCTTCTGTAAATCGGAACCTCAGTGGGCCGGCGATCTTTTCTAACATCACTAACACAAAGTAAAAAACTACCTTTAAATAAATTGAATGCATTTGTTAAATCATATCTCAACAGATATGATATGATGAACAAAGCCTCTCTCTCACTCAATTACTTAAATAACAAATGTGCATGACAATAGTAGTTCATGCATGGGATTTTCATATAATGTTAGACGTAGACACCTATATATATAAGCATAAATGTAAATAAACTGACAAAAAAAAATTACTAAGTTTCTTGCCAATTTTTTTTAATTGAATTGTATAAGAAACTGGGCGGTGGGGAAAAAAATTGTATTACAAAAAACTTGCGTTCGTAAATCGGCTAAAACAAATAAACAACTTTTCAATATTGAAATTTTTAAAGAACTTCTATGTATAGTAAAATACAGTTTATTACTAAACTTACCCTTAGCGTGTCCAAACCACGAGAGGCAATATCTGTACATGATAGAACATTAACTTTTCCATTTCTGAACATATCGAATTTCCCTAACTTCAATGGCACGGCCATCTGTCCATTTATATTTATACATTCAATGTTATTCTCATTTAGGAACATTGAAACGAAATCACATGTTGACGTCTGATTTGAGAATATCATGACGGGACGCTGTTGGTTCACGTCTGCATTCACTAACTTCAGCAGTTCAGTTGGTTTTTGTGCTTTACCTAGCCGTATGAATCTGAAAGAAAAGCAATAATAGAATAGAACAGATATAGAGACTTCTGATTACTCAATACTCATTTTTTTTATGTACCACTCATTTGGAATGTTGTCTCATCACAAGAAAAAGAGATAGAAACTTGCGTGTTGCTCTTTTAAATAATTTAGTTATAACCTTACATTTCTAAATTGAAATGTGTGAATACAAACTACCAAGTCTAATGCTAAGTCAAAACAATAAATACACAACAAATTGGGTACCTAAATAAGAGTAAACCAGTTGTAGTGATTAGAGCAGATCATTCCTTACAAGCAGTACTCGTTCACGAGTATGACGAATTAGTATGATGATAATAATAATAATAACCCAGAAGCATTCACGCAGCGCCATTTAGTACCAAACTAATACAGAGCTTGTGTTATGGGTACTAGATAACTAATATAAGTAATTTTTTTTTATAATACATACATAATATGCATAGAAAACACTTATACCGATACAATAATCATAGTCATGAATATATATGTTTGTATCGTGCGTGGAATCGAGCCCGCGACCATAGGAAGTAAAGCGATATGTTAAACCGCTACGCCACTGAGGCCGTCAGTAATATGAATTATTTCAATAAAATGAATAGAGCTCGGATATAGCCTGGAAGTCTAGTGTTGAGTGTTCCGCGATTACACTGAAAGACCTATTACTTACTTTTGAGGTACATGTGGTAATACTCTGTGGATATTTGAAGTGGTAACTGTCTTTAGTGAGTCAGGAGCTACAAAAGAGTTGACACTTTCTGGGAGTTCATGTGGCATTGTGGCACTAACGAGAGTGAGTTGGCACCCTATTGGAGGTAGAGTTATTTCCACTTTATATTGAATCTGTAAAATTAAAGTTATTTATAAACAACATAAGTGTATAAAATGTTTAAGTGTTTAATATGAACTTAGATGGATGCTAAGGGAGAGGCGATCAATAAAGTGATGGATGGATTGTGTAAAAGATATGTATTAAAGGAGAGTAAGCTCTGAGCTTACTTAGATATGATAGCTGATAGGGATCAGCGGAAGAAGAGAACATACTTCATCAACCCCAAATAATACGATAAAAGGATACTAATAATGCATGGCATGGCAAAAAAAAAACTAGCTAACCCAACAAATGTTGCTTTGCCATTTAAATTAATATTGCCATTAAAAAATAGGAGTTAATCGTAAAAGTGAAAACTTGAAGTTATATGTATTTTTCAATACTACATCATATAAAAAATAATATAAAAATAAAAATATATTTAGGGGTGGGTCAACCTTACCTTTAGACAGATATCTAAATACTTAATTAGATGTCTAAATGCAACACCAAATAATGTTAACAAATTATTTTTGAAAATAAATATACACAGTGAGTTTCTTGCAAGTTCAATTGAATCTGTAGTCTGAACTGGATGGTATGAAAAATAACATAAATCTTGAATTCCATAAAAGATGATAATAATTTTTAATATTAATACCAGATAGACTATTGCATTAGGTGAAAGTCTGTAATTATAGATATGTACTCACAGAAAATTTTTTCAGTAGATTTGACACCTTCCCAATAAAGGTATCATCTAATAAAGTATCAGCTTCATCCAAAACTACATGGTGTACATTATGTACCTTGTAGATACCGGTTGTAACCAGTTTGCTGTAGGCACCCAGTGTTGTGATCAGCATGTCACAGTATTCTATAGGAGGATCCAGCATTTTTTGCTTAGTCCGTCCACCAATTAGACTGGTTACACTTATATTCAATTCTTGTGCTATTGACTGTGCTACTTCACTTATTTGATTAGCTGCAGAATAAGAATTGCATCATCTATACATATAAATAAAATTGGTGTGTCTGTTTGTAATATTGAAATAACCACTTTTTACTACATACGTATGAGTATAAATTACATATACACCAAAATATCATTTTTTACAATTTTTGTCTGTCTGTTTGTTTAATCTGTGAAATGGCTGGACCGATTTTGACGAGACTTTTATTAGCAGGTAGCTGATGTAGCAAGGAGATGAAACAAAAGTTAAATTCCATGCGGTCAATGTTGCAAAAACAGCTAGTAAATTATAATATTCAGATCCTCTGTGGTCTAGCGGTTCAGCACACAGCTTTTCTATGTACATTATATGTATATTGTTACAAAATAAATGTCAAAATATTTATACCAGTTGTCTAGTACACACAAAACAAGTTCTGCTTATAAGTTACTGCTTGATACTAGATGGCACTGTGTAAAATCTAAATGATACATATAAGAGTATTGATAAAATTAAACTAACATGGGGAAATGAAAAGGTTACTGAGGAATTTTTTTTTGTATGAATGATGGAATATGTGAACACTGAGAATTAACCACAAATTCCAGGGGTAACTGTGTCAAGGTTAAACTATCTTTTGGACAACTAGTTCTCATTATCAAAAAAATATTTTTACCCTTTAAAATAGCACAGTGCAGTACAAGGGACTGCATGCCATTGTAATACATTAAAAAATTAAACTCACCAAGTTCTCTACTAGGTGTAATCACAACAGCCATTGGACTGTTGAATTCTTCCGGAACATGCTGTTTCCATTCCAAAATGTGCTGAAAAATGGGCAGCAAATACGCCAATGTCTTCCCGCAACCAGTTTCAGCGGTGACAACAGTGTTATGACCCTTCAAAATAGCCGATACTGCCTTAGTTTGTATTGCTGTAGGCAAAGTTATACCTTGATCAGACATAACCTGAATCAACTCGTTTTTTAAGCCTATTTCCTCGAAACTCTTTTTGTAAACATTGTCCTCTTCTATTTTATTAGCATTTCCGTGTATTATGAAATAATCCCCTTTGGATTTAGGATGTGACCAACCCTGAGAAGCTAGTTTCACGCCGTCGAACTTGCTATACGATTGTCCCTGGTAATGGTTAAATTCTGGACGCTTGCAAGATATAATTGGTAACTTTTTCTTCACTTGCCTAGCAGAATAAAAGCGACAATAGGTAGTAAATACAGATTGTTTCGACATCTTATTTCATGAAATTTATTAAATTTCTGGTACTGCAGTTTTATTAAAAATACAAAACATGCTTCGTTATAGTGCATGACTTAACATGACAAATTGACAACAAGCTGTCATTCAAATTGACAACTAAAATACAGTTAACATGTATCTACTGTCAATGTCAAAATTTAAGCATACACAATTTTTTTATCTTGTTTGTATTGCTAAATAAATTGTACTAGGAAATCTGGTTGCAATTCTATTTGTGATATAAAATCTTATTTATATATTACTTACATCCATTAATTTGCATTGTGAATCAAGTTAAAAACATCTGAGCCAAATTGTGCAGGGGTTTTGGTAATTGGACTACCCAGTCCGACCCACATATCCAAGAAAAAGAGCTCTAACTCTTCATCATGACGAATTTGGTTGTGAGTGTCAATTACTTTACTTTTACAGCTTTTACATATATTGGACTCTATTAACGTTGTCATAATCCATTTTAAAAAACTAGTTTCTTTTAATAAATGAATATAAAATGCTGTTTCCCCCTGCGCTAACAGTGCTATTGGGACACCAGACGGGCTGATAGATGAGGACATAGTCTGGTCTGGTCCACTGGTAGAGGAATCATCGATATTTAACCACCAGTTTCCAGTACCATGTGGAGGCAGATTTGATAGAATACCTTGTTAGCAATGAGTCTAATGAATATAACAAATAATAATTATTGAATAGTGTAATTTATACTACACTTTCTGTAATCTGGTTTAGGTTGTAGCTGAATGTTACTTCATAGTATACATAGGTACATTGACAACCTCGGTGGTCTAGTTGTTTATCACACCACTATTATTTTAATGGTCGTGAGTTTATTTCCTTGCACAATACAAGTATTTATATTCACGAGTATGACTTTTCATATTAGTCTGGTGGTTATATATATATTATGTATGCATTTACAAAAAAATGTAACTATTTATATCAGTTGTCTGGTACCCATAACATAACTAGATGGCACTGTGAGAATTGTGTTGTGTTATTACTATATTATGTGGTTGATGGAATAGAGATCCCGCCGTAAGTAAAAAGTGAAAATAATATGGGATCATAATCATATCACGCATAATTATCTGGATACCGCAATGTCCTGAAAGGACGTAAACTGTGAGGAGACTAATGGTAAATTCGTTAGACTGGTTATACCGAATTGTCTCAATAATAAAGATGTTAAGAATTGAAATGAGTGCAAAAGTGCTATCATATAATGTTTATGATAAACTAGATTTGAGTGTGATTGAAAAGTTTGATGTGTGCAGACTAGTGTTGCCAGATGTCCTATATTTCCCAGGATGTATTTTAGACTTAGTTTAAAATGTCCCGGCGGGACTGACTGTGTCCCTTGTTCGAACCATGCTCCGTTTTTATTATTAAATTGATCTATCTATGCTAGACAAGAATACTCAAGCAATGTTTGTACCCCTAATTTAATAAAAAGCGAATTGATGACAGTTTCTAATCAGATTATAATTGTATTGATTTTTATAAATATGTTAAAACTAATAAAAATATGTCGAAGCCGACTTGCTCCTCAGAAAAGTATATAAAAAAGTAAAGAATGTCACTATATAATTTTGTTTTTATTTGTCCTGAGTAAAAAACTATATTGTCATAGTTTTTTGCCTATTTTAGCATTTGAGCCCTATAGACTGAAAAAAAATCTGGCAGCTCTAGTACAGACCCACATAGACTATTGGATTCTGTCTAATAATAACCATGACAAAAGAATTTGGTCCTGTCTTGTTTTGATGATTGCTTAAATTTATTTTTAAACAATATTACAATTTTGTCATAAGTAACCAAACCAATGTTAGAGTAAAAAATAATTTGAATCTTGATATTAACAATAAACAAAATACCATTTCTATCATTTCAGGTCAGTAATAGTAGTACAGACAGCAGCTCTGGGTCTTCATCAGACTCAAGTAGCAGTGTAAGCTCATCTTCAAGCTCAGGGTCTGGTTCTACTAGCTCAGACTCTGAGTCTTCCACCTCTGATACTCCAGCCGTCACAACTGCAGCAGTGCCTAAATCTCCACCTAAACCAGCACCAGAAGAACCTAAAGCTAAAGAAGAACCCAAACCAAGACGGCCCTCAAAAGTTAAAATCTCTTCTTCAAGCGATGATGATGCACCAAAAACGGACAGTCCAAAGTCAATGCCCCCAAGAAGACGCTGCTCAGCAAAACCTAAAGCAGCAATTGCAGTCCTGGCTAAAGGCAAACCTTCACCTAGGTTGCCGACGGGGGCAAAGACTCCAAAACCAATACCGAAAACAATGACAAAACCATCAAAATCAGATTCTACATTGAAAAAGAAAAGTATATTCTCTCCAGATAATAGTTCAGAGTCAGAATCTGAAAGCAAGTCATCAAAAAGTCCTAAAGGCTCACCAAAATCTAAGCGGGGATCTAGAAAGTCATTGGATGAAAAAGATACCCCTCCACTGACCCCAGCAGAGAATGAGGATTCAAACCCAAAAGATAATGTGAAACGAAGGAATAGTAATAGACCAAATGGACCCCCTCCAAAGAAGGTGGTGGAAGAGAAGAGCACATCATCCTGTTCTTCGAGCCCGTCTTCAGTGGAATCCGTATCTTCAGACAGTAACAGTGAACCGACCCCAAAAAAGGATCCCCCAAAGACTGGAAAAACAAAACCACCATCTAATACCAATAAGGTTAGTATTGTAATATACCTATTTAAAAGATAACACCTGACCTATGTATTTTTTTTTCATTGCAGCTTCGGTCCTATTGATCGTAGCGATTATAATTTAATTGAATAATTTGTTTAGTATTGGATAACCCATGTATTGAGGATATTATGAAATCAAATCAATATTACTGGCTAATCTAGCCTAAACAATTAAATTACATTGCCTTCAGAAACTGGTTTCTAATTATTTCAGATATTTCTTTTAGCACCATCTAGTGGTAAGTTGTAACTGGGACCTATATATGTGAATAGCACATCTCATAATAATGTGGGGTCTATCTCTACCTCATCTACCTCATCATGCAATGCCGTTTTAGAAGACTAAATCATGTCTCTGTAATCTGTCATTTCAAGTCTTAACATAAGCATTTTTGTCTGTCTTTTCTTTACAGCAAGAGACAACTGGTAAAAGTGGTGACTCAGGTGAATCTGCAACAAGCACGATGCCCCGTAAACTGACGCGATCGCTGTCTGCGCGGGTGTCTAGACTGGCTACAGTGTCACGTCCTACACACACTGACACTGATTCCGATGTTGATGAAAAAACTAATGGAAAGGGGTAAATATACAGTGAACCCGCGGTAATCCGGCCCCTGTCTTATCCGCCCCCTTGTAATCCAACATGGTCTATTATTTATTATTGAATATTTTTTGACCTCAGAGTGCATATACATACATACTTATATAACATAAAATCTTATCACTGGATCTGTAATTTGTCGGATTACAAGATACTCTTTTGTACAAAATTCCGGACTATAGGGAACCTTTAGGCAGCACTCTATAATCCGACAAATTTGATGGTCCGACACTGCCCTGCAAAACGTTTGCCAGATAACCGGGGGTGTACTCTAATCTCTGCATGATGAATAGTTATAGTTATTTCTATGTACTATTCTACTGGTTGATTGTTGGGTAGTCATCAGTCATACAAAATTTTTATGTCTATATTGTAGTGAAGTACATAACACAAAACAAAAATATATATATAGAAATTTGAAATATTCAGAAACTACTAAAATTATTAAAACGTCTGTATTATGATCAGCTGCAATTGCGACAAAGGCGCGCGCACCGACTGACAGAATGTTTTCATACGTTTTTGTAATAAATAATTATCATTCGCCTCTGATTAATTATAATTAAATGAGTCTTTAGATAATAAAATTTGTGGAATGTCTAACTAAAATTGTAATATTGTTCGTGTTTCATACATTCTTGTATATTCAGTATGAAACATTCATACATATATTTCGTACAGAATACACGGGAATAAGAGTAAGAAACTTGAAACACGTGACAATTTTAAAGAGTACAAAAAATGTTAACAATCTATAATTATGAATCGCATGGGCTTTTCGCGAAAAAGAATGTGTTGTAGGACTTAATTTAAATTTGAATTTTATTTTATATGTGTATAAGTAAAAACAAAACTATAGAAAAAGCCTCGGTACACTGAGATATATATCGGAAAACGAACGGCAAGACATCGAAGTATAAAACGAAATGTACAATGAAAGAACTATAAATTTAAATACATATTTAGTATAGAAAATACATTTCTGTCTAGTCAGTACACTAAACAAAAATATGTGATGACAGTAAGGAGAGCAAGAAGCCGCCGCCGAAGGGCCGGCCGGTCCCCCGGTCGCCGGCGGCCGGCGCGGAGGCGGCGGCGGTGGCGGCCGTGCCCACCGAGCGGCGCTGCCCCGTCGGCGGCTGCGACTCCAGCGGACACCTGGGCGGCGCCGCCGCCAGGCACTTCACCTGGGACGCCTGCCCGCGCTACCACCGCGCCTCGCCCGCCGCCTGCCGCGCCGCCGCCGAGGAGCGCGCCGCCGCCGCCGCCGCCCGCCGCCGCGCCGCCGACCTGCTGCTGCAGCGCCCGCGCGCGCAGCCCACCATCGACCAGCGCGCCTACCAGCTCAAGGTCAAGGTGAGCCCGCCGCCGACCTGCTGCTGCGGCGCCCGCGCGCGCGACCATCGACCAGCGCGCCTACCAGCTCAAGGTCAAGGTGAGCGCCGCCGCGCGCGCAGCGCCCGCGCGCGCAGCCCACCATCGACCAGCGCGCCTACCAGCTCAAGGTCAAGGTGAGCCCGCCGCCGACCTGCTGCTGCGGCGCCCGCGCGCGCAGCCCACCATCGACCAGCGCGCCTACCAGCTCAAGGTCAAGGTGAGCCCGCCGCCGACCTGCTGCTGCAGCGCCCGCGCGCGCAGCCCACCATCGACCAGCGCGCCTACCAGCTCAAGGTCAAGGTGAGCCCGCCGCCGACCTGCTGCTGCAGCGCCCGCGCGCGCAGCCCACCATCGACCAGCGCGCCTACCAGCTCAAGGTCAAGGTGAGCCCGCCGCCGACCTGCTGCTGGTGTCTGCGCGCATCGACCGCGCAAGCTGAGCCCGCCGCCGACCGCTGCAGCGCCCGCGCGCGCAGCCCACCATCGACCAGCGCGCCTACCAGTCAAGGTGAGCCCGCCGCCGACCTGCTGCTGCGGCGCCGCGCGCGCAGCCCACCATCGACCAGCGCGCCTACCAGCTCAAGGTCAAGGTGAGCCCCACCAGCGCCCGCGCGCGCAGCCCACCATCGACCAGCGTGTCTAAGATTTCAATATTAAACTCAGTGCATCTCAGCTTAATATTGAAATCTTAGACACGCTTACCTTGTGAGCTCAAGGGAAACAGAAGCTGCCTCCTACCTAGCTATCGTCGGGTAGAATGCCCACCGTCTCAAATTCAATACGAGACGCAGAATTTTCGCTTCATATCTTCGTCCAGTGTGCATACGTCTAACTCCCACTGTCGACTCTATCTCTCATCATAAACACCGCCACAAACTATGCTGAACACCATCTCCAACAAAACTTGAACTTTGCCACCATGTACCAAGAACCTACCACATCGAGAAGTGTTAAGGTCTCATCCTCAACTAAGTAAGCAATTTTTTTTGTTTGCATGTTTCATAAGAAAAAGTATATGATAATACTACAAAAACATCATGATCAAGTATGTTTTAAATTTGTAACTTTTCTCCCAGGATATGCGATCGAAATGGAAGGGCAGCCAGGAACTACGAGAGAAATTAGCTGCGGCTGGCAACGAGGAGAGCACTGAGGAACGTGAACCTATACTGGAAGGTTTTGCACCGGACTACGATCTTAGATTATTCCGAGAAGCCCAGGCTTTAGCTGCTATTAAGATTGAAGAGGAATTGGGTGATATACCCTCTGATAGAGGGACTAGGTAATATATAATTGTGTAATTTACTGACTTCATTTGTAATTTGTAAACATTATTCGTCATTACGCTACACTTGCATAAGATTTTACGACAATTTGCGAAGAAAATTAATAAAAGCAGCAATGAACCTGATCTGATGGTTGCTGTTCAAGTCCGCTCTCGATGCAAACAGTGTCATTCATAAGTATGATCGTATTGGGCTGAGTGTTTCCCTATGGTTGTATACTATGTATGTATTTACAACAAAATATAAAAGTATTTTTTACAATTGTCTAGTACTTATAATACAAGCTCTCCTCTTTTCTGGGACTAAAACAATATTAATATAATATAATATATATATATATATATATATATATATTAATATATAATGCAACAGCATTAAACTTATTTATGTCAGAACGTCGTAACTAAATAAGTTTAGAAGTCTTCACGGTAGTGTAGTACAATCACTTTGCCTCAAAATAATAAAAAAAAAGTGTACAACATGTTAGCATGTTCTCTACTTCTATTATTTAAATTTGGAACATATTTTGAAAGGCTTTCTATGCTTGCAGGTACGTGGTGATGGGCAAGTACATGATGGAGGTGTGGTACCAGTCGCCGTACCCGGGCGAGGCGGCGCGCGTGGCGCGGCTGTTCGTGTGCGAGTTCTGCCTCGGACACCACCGCTGCGCCGCCGGCGCCGCCCGCCACCGCGCCAAGTGCGTGTGGAGGCACCCGCCCGGCGACGAGGTTAGTACTCTTCGCGCCCAATGGGACCCCACCCACACTACGTCTAGGTGCGTACTGTCTGCGCGCACTGAGACCCGCACGGCGATAAGATGAGTACTCTCTTCTCGCGTACCACCCATATGACATGGACGTGCATACTTTCCGCTCGCACTGGAGATTCAATAGATGATAATAGTATGGTGCATGGTATGGTGGTGTTGATAAGATGAGTATGAGGTCAGATCAATTAGCCTTCGTGGCAAATTTACCAAGAACTATTACGATGGTTTCCATGGGAACACTGGATAGAGGTTAACCTATAATTTAACAATGCTAGCAATGGGGACATTAGTCCGCATTGCTAACCTAATCCAATTTAACAATGCAATCTCTCAGGCACACTATCACAATGATTTTCAATGTTATAATAAATGAGTACATTTTTGATTTGATTCTCCGTTGTTCGTAATAAATCATGCACTGCCAGCATATACCTTTAACGAAAGTAAGGTTTTACTTATATTGTTTCTTATTTAGCGACTAGCGCTAAAGTAGGAAAGCACGGGTTTGCAACCCTGTCCCCCGAGCTGTCCCAATCCCGTACTATACAGTATCCCTTTCTCCCAACCTCATCCTACTCCTCATAAATCCTTCCACGCATATTTCCCTTTCCAAATACTCTCTTTCCGGGGGATTGTTAATAATATGGACTCTAGACCTCATTACTAACAATGTATTATGTCAGGTTGACCTCCACGCGGTTCCCCCTGGAAACCGTCTTGATAAATCTTGGTGAATTTATCACGATGGGCTAACTGACCTGACCACATCCTTATCCTATCTTATCATCCTCCACTGGTGCCCCGCCAGCGTAAACATTATCATTCATAAAAAAAACTCTCTTTCCCATTCCCTATTTCTACTCCTATCAATGGTATAATCACTATCCGATGCATGCCCAAGGAGGGTTGACATCAGACAGCCAGCCTTTCATAAAAATAAATGCCAAAGCCTTTTCTCGTAATCAAGTCCGCCATTATCATCCACTAAAAAACCTATTTATCTCCACTGCTTATGATAAAAACAAAACATTGTATTTAACTATAGAAAGTATATTAATTTTGAACCTTATTGCCAACAGGTGTACAGAAAAGACAATTTAAGCGTATGGCAAGTTGACGGCCGGAAGCACAAACAGTACTGCCAGCACCTGTGTCTCCTTGCCAAATTCTTCCTGGACCACAAGACGTTGTACTACGATGTGGAGCCATTCCTCTTCTATGTGATGACATGTGCTGACAATGAGGGATGCCACATCGTCGGTTACTTCAGCAAGGTGAGTCTGAAACGCGCTAATGATGTTTTCACTGGTTATTGTTCATGTACTATATTACAGTATATTATATGGGGGGACGATTCCATGGGTTCAGCGTTCGAGTGCCTGGTCCATCGTGTTTCAGAGATGGAAACTCCCGGGGCTTGTGACCCGGGAGTAGGTTTCAGGGGCCCCTTTGACGACGTACGTGAACACTCACCTTCACTGCCCGTGTTTCTCTCCCAGCCAAATCTGGTAGGAGCCTGCTAGTGCAGCTTTAGATACACGTTCTAATATAGAATCCACTGCAGTTCTAGACAGGCCAAGATCTTTTAGAAGATTGTAGAAAAATTTACCAGAGCTCGATATTTTGGCATATGTGTGAAATTTATATGTTAACCTGGTATTAACACGAATCGTTTTATCTTATTAATAATATTATAAACGCCAATGGATGGATAGACGGATTTGAATGAAACTTTACATTTATATAGCTTATATATCAGAACTAGCTGCACCCGCAACTTCGTCCGCGTGGAATTTAACTTTAGAGATTAGCCGGAACAAACAAACAGACAGATAGATAAAAATTGTAAAAAAATGTTATTTTGGTGTATGTACCTTATTTATATATCACATGCCTGTAGAAAAAACTATTTTTTCAATATTACAAACAGACACTCCAATTTTATTTATATGTATAGATGAAAAACAATTAAAATATTTTATATGTATGAATTTATGTCTGTATTAATTAATTATAATTAAACTCTACTTATAATTATGACTCTACCTCCGCTCATGAACACAGCTAGTGCAACCTAGTCGAAAAGTCGAGAAATAGAAATAGAAATAAAAAATTATGACCTATATTGCTTCAAACGTACTCTTTTTAGTTAAATTAATGCCATTACTCTGTAAATGATATTTTGACCGACAATTGGATGCGAAATTTGATATATATGTTTTTTTTTGTCTATAAATATATTTAATGTTAATTTCTATAAATATTTTTACGCTTCATATAAGCAGTTTTTCTAATGAAAGTTTAATAACTAGTGGAATATAACATATTATCACGAGGGTGGACATAGGGTACCTTTTATTTCAAACAAAAGCTAATTGAAGTCGCAGGAAATAGGTAGTAAATATAATTCAAACGCGCTGCATCCCTTTGAGTATTCCTTTTTTTTTATTCTGTCTCCATAGGATTCGAATTTCAGTGGAGAAAATCGGGTTAAAAATATAACATGCCCTTTGGTGCAATTTTCAAACAAACTTTGTTGGACTTCACATGTTAAAATTTAATGTTTTACGTTGTCGTATTTGTACAAATAAATAAAATTGAAGTGTCTGTTTCTAATTTCAAATTTCATTATATACACATGATGAATATACCTACGACTTTACATCTAAAATGAATTTAAAAAAATGTCTGTTTGTTCTTCTAATCTCAGAAACGACTGGAACGATTTTGTAAATAGATACAGAATATACATAGATAACACACAGATCAATACAATTATAGTCATTGTGCGAGGAATCGAACCCACGACCATTAAAAATAGAGAGGTTCGCTAAACCGCTAGACAACTGACTGACATTGAAAGATTCAAATAAAGATTTATGTCTGCGATTGCGAACCTTAATAGAAAATGCGAATTTTAAATCAATAGAAATAAACAAACTCAATTTTTTAAACGAAGCTTATTACTGTACATTAGTGAAAATCACACCCAAATCAGTTAGCCGTTTCTGAGATTAGCGAGCACAAACGCACGGACAATTTGTAGCACACATAAAAATGATCATGAGTCATTGTTTTGGGTTCTATAACGTTGATGAAGTCGGACAAATAATAGATTTTATTATATATCTTATACAGACATATATTAAGACAGACAAAAATTATAGCAATCATTGTATTGTCTTTTATTACGTTAATAATAAATAAATAACCCCGGACAATTAACATAGTACCATCTCGCCATCTAGTTCCATGCTAAGCAGAGGTTGTGTTATGGTTACTAGACAACTAATATAAGTACTTAGATTTTTTGTACATACATAATATTGGAAATACCCAGACCGACACAAACAAGCGTACTCATGAATACAAATGCACCATGCAAGGAATCGAACCCGCGACCATCAGATAAACCGGTTTGCTTAACCGCTAGACCACCGAGGCCATCAAAAAGGTCCGATAATAATAGATTTCTCATACAGACGGCAATTAATTATATTCTGATATGCATATAGCATAGATTAGCTGTACTTGAGATCTTCGTCCGCGTGGAATTTAACTTTATTTTTCTAAAATAAAAGTAGCCTAAGTTACTTCTTATTACATCAGCTACCTGCCAATAAAAGTCCCGTCAAAATCGGTGCAGCCATTTCAGAAATTAGCCAGATCAAACAGACAGACAGACAAAAATTGTAAGAAATGTTATTTTGGTGTATGTACCTTATTTATATTCATATGCATGTTGTAAAAATGGTTATTTCAATATTACAAACAGACACTACAATTTTATTTATATGTGTAGATCGATATCTTGCCGGACTCACACTAAAAAAAACTGAATGTGTAATTATAGCAAAGCAAATATACACACTACGCTTACTACATCACCGTACTACGGTGGTGAATGGCGTCGCGTCAGCTGTGGGGTCACTGACCGGGGTGGGACACGCCCCTATGCACCCCAACTCACCCCGCAATCCGTCTGCGGTGCGTTCAACACAGACATTTACCTAAAATTTCATATAAAACTTTTAAATTAATACCAAGCACTTAATAATACTCATGCAAAAAGATTTGTTAATTTTTTACTGTATAAAATGTAATATAAGCGGTGGATGTTAGGTATGTTGTGATCATAACCTAGGTCAACATATAACTGACCCCTTCTATAGCAATTCCCGGGCCGTCTAGTCGGCAAACATCAAAAGCTGCTCTAGCGTATTCAATTTGTCCCAAGCTCCCCTCTTTTCAATATGTATTTCGTTATAGTACTGCTTTTATAATTTGAATTTGCACGACTATACAATATATATCTATACATCTATACATATAAATAAAATTAAAGTGCCTGTTTGTAATATTGAAATAACAGTTTTTTACTACATGCATTTGAATATATATACGGTACATATACCAAAATAACATTTTTTTATCTGTCTGTCTGTCGGTCTGTTTGTTCCGGGTAATCTCTGAAATGGCTGTACCGATTTTGACGGGACTTTTTTTCGCAGGTAGCTGATGTAAGAAGGGGTAACTTAGGCTACTTTTATTTTAGAAAAATAAAGTTAAATTCCACGCGGACGATGTCGCGGGAACAGCTAGTATTATATATAAACATGTATATATATATATATATTATTACGGAACAGAGCTATAATTTTGTACAATATATTTTAGATAATAACTTTAAAATCCAAATACAACTATTCACGTACTATATATAATTTTGTACGGAACGCTATCTTCTATATAAAGATATAATGTAATATTAAAAAAATTAAAATAAATACAGATAACAAACAATAATAACCAAGGTACATATATGTAAATATACACAGTCTAGTATTGGGACCAATATAGATATTACCAATAAATAGTGTCTGACATATATATATGTCTAATATATTTAACTGTACCCGCGGTTTCACCCGCGTCAAATGTATAGCCTATATGTTATTCTCATGTATAAGCTATATTATTCTAAAGTTTCATTAAAATCAATTTCGTAGTTTTTGCGTGAACGAGTAACAAACATCCTTCCATCAATACCGACAAACTTCCACGCTTATAATGCTAGTACGATAAGTGTGCGAAATTTCATACTCCATCCGCGCAATTTCCGCAAAACGTGGTACAAAATTTTTACTTCACGTATATGATGGTGATAATTTAGGGTTAAAAAATCCATACATTTTTTAATGGCAAATCTAAATATTATAAAAGAAATTGTTCAAAAAATACAAATAATATTTTAGGGGTGTACAACCCTTATCACTTTGGGGTATGAAAAATACATAGTAGCCGATTCTAAGACCTACTGAATACGCGTAAAAATAAAAATCGATCAAACCGGTTTCGCAGGAGTTATAATAAAAGTAGTATGGTAACTAACATTGTGATACGAGAATTTTATATAATTACTAGCTATTCACCCCGGCTTCGCTCGAGTATACATGTATTATATATATATACATCATCCTCTAGAATCACTCTCTTAAAAAATATCGCTTCGAAATCAGTTGCGTAGATTTAAAGATTTAAGCATACATAGACGGATGGACGGACAGCGACAGCGACTTTGTTTTATACTATGTAATGATAAGATGTAGATAATAAATGAGATGATTTTTATGTACGTCGGTATCGATGTCTAGTTATGTATATGAAGTTGTCATCCGTTGCTCTGAAAATAAATAAACCTTATCTCTTTGATTTGTAGCAGCCATTTCAATTACACGCTCGACGAGCGGTGATATTATCGCGCTCGGTGCTTTATGCGGATTTCTGTCTGTTTGTAGCATCGCAGGTCCAATATGATGTTCAATTTATATCATTCATGTATATTATACTAAACAAATTATTTTTAAATTGCTTCCGACTATAGAGGTTTAGGGTTTTATTTAAAAAATAATTTGTAATATTAATAATCAGTGCAATTATTTTTATTGTAATTTAGTATAGTTTCACATTTTTGTTGTAGTAAAGTAGGTACATTTAAAATGTAGTATCTATTTTATATTATACTACAAATGACATAAAGTTCTAAGTTATGAGTTCAGCTAGTCTACTATAAATTTTAAGCATTTCATATTAGTAGCTATAGTAACATGACACCTTTGACTATTATCTCAGATGGGGTAGACAGAGGCGTTGGCAACTGTTTCCGTTATTGTTGATACGTTGATCATGCGAAAGTGCGATATTTATTCTTAGTTTTGCGCAGCGCATACGCTTCATATGCTCTGCCAAGTTTATAAGCTGTCAGCTTGTTGTT